CAATGTCATGGGCCCGTGGGCTTGGTGTTTATTTTATACAGTCAGATTGTGACCACGATTGGCCAGTGAATTTCATCACAAATTATTTTTGCTACAACTAATGTTGAATGCTGGATCAGGGATATTAACACAATGATGGGAACGCTGAAGAATGTGGCTGTAGGCACCTTGTGAGTGTCGATGAAATTTTGAGTTGGTGAATTTGGCTGGTGAAGAGAAACTGCAAGAACAACAAATATAATTGCAGAAAGATTGATTGATTGATTTGTGGGGTTTAACGTCCCAAAACCACCATTTGATTATGAGAGACGCCGTAGTGGAGGGCTCCGGAAATTTCGACCACCTGGGGTTCTTTAACGTGCACCCAAATCTGAGTACACGGGCCTACAACATTTCCGCCTCCATCAGAAATGCAGCCGCCGCAGCCGGGAAAATTGCAGAAAGCGGGCATTACAGTTCCACAGGGCTGTAATCATGTAATGTTCATACTCTTAAATTATTCATGAGTTGTACTTGTTATCTATCAAATGTTATACACCTATAGCCAAGTATAAACGAGCGTGGTCATGCTCTTCTAAAAAAAATTGTGGTCGTGCCTGTCTGTGTTCCCCTTATTATTTTTGTGCTGTCATTATGACGAATCCAATGAACGCTTACAGACACAGATTTCTTTTTTATTTGGCTAAATAATAGAATAATGACACGTGCTAAATGGCCATTGAATGGTGAAGTGTTATCTTCTTTCAATTACCCGTACCACCTTTTTTTTTCGTTATGCAGAGTGAGAATGGCAAACTTGGAGTTGTGAATGTCGTGACCAGTGGGAAAGTTTCTTCATTTTGTCTCAAATACTACCCCCAATTCAAGCAGCTGCCACTAGACAAGTCGGAAGCGGTACGTTTTCTTGTGTTGCTTGCTGATAATCAGTGTTTCTTGCTGATCACATATATAGGTGCCTTTTCTGTAAAATGAACCATCAACTTTGCTAAGGCACGTTGCCGGGCTAGTTGGTTGAGATTCATCATTTTCACTGGTATAGCGCACCACGACAAGGACACACACAAAGGAGAGATGCACACACACACAGCGCTAACTTGCAACTAATGTTTTATTTGCGATCACACACGCTGTTTATACAACAGTAGACCGATAAAAAACCTGGATAATGTCACATCAAGAATACAGCACAGCCCATGCACGTGTCATCACCGATAGCGAGAATCTACACTAGCCCGTCAAAGTGAAGATTCTAGATACTTCTTTTCTTTAGATGATAATGCTATGGAAGCCACACTCACACATTTTCCTTTCATTTTTTCTAATTGAAAAGCTTCAATTATTTCACGTGTGGTTCTGTCACGGGCCTTAAAGAGTATACGGGTGTTTTGGAACATAGGGACGCAACCGCACCTCTGACAGTGAAGGGCCAAATGACCACATACAGCTCTTTCTACATTGTACTTGTGTTCCTTTAGTCTTTCATTCACACACCTTCCAGATTGGCCTATGTATTCGCAACCGCAAGTCAAAGGAGTGCTATAGACAACACCACAACAACAATTCACAAATTTCTCCCGGTGCTTAATCTTACAATTCTGTTTCCCGCTACTTTCTGCATTGACCTTTTTGCACATTCCTTACAACTTTTTGGGAGCAGAACACACTAAGTCCGCACCCGCCTTCCTTGCTATCCTTCGCAAATTATGCGAAATTGCATGCATGGACCAAAGTTCGCCGTCGAGCCGCGAAAATCTAGCCCCGAACTTCTAGGGATGGTTCGGAATGTCTGAAAACAAGTACCTGAAGGTGACGTTGACAGGTGTGTATCTGAAGGTGTCGACGTTCTCATGCGTGTCCGTCCTACGGGCGGCAGATGTGCTATTCAGGAAACCATTAGGCACTTGAAGGACAATTCTCTCGCGCTGCTACCAGCCGATAAAGACGGTGGCTTTGCGGTTATGCGTGAGTCATTGTATCGAGCGAAGGCGTCAGAGGCCATCAATTCTGTATTTGATACTCATAACAATGTTTCGTTACAAAAAGTGCGAACTGCTGCGAAGAAACTATGCAAAAGCTTTAATCTTGAAGGCCTGGTTAGATCGATCGAGAAGACAAAAAAAAAGTGGATCTTGATATCTTTTTCACGGCAAAGACGCATAACGTTGAATGCCCTTTCAGAGTGATCATCTCAGAGGATGAATCCTGGCAAAAGTGCATCGCGTTATTTTTACAAAAACATTTGAAGTTGATATCTCTTGATGACCCCTTTTTGGTGAAAAAGTCGGAACAAGTACTAGACTTTCTTGCAGGCAAGAAAAACGCAGACCTTTTAGCTTTTTCGATCGACGTTAAGGACCTTTATTACACCCTCCCTCAGGCAGAGTTGATGGCGTGTGTATCGGAAGGTGTAGACAGAGTAGGAGCGGTTGATTTTCGCAATACTGCTGGTCTGTCGAGTGATCAGTTTTTAGAGCTCCTTTACTTTTATCTTAACTCGACCTATGCGATGTGGAATGGAAACACTGTAAAACAAAAGAACGGGATATGTATAGGTTCCTGCATAGCTCCGTACCTGAGCGACCTGTTTTTAGCAAAACGTAACAAAATCCTTGATGAACGTATGAAGCACACTGACGTTATTGCTGTTTTTAGATATGTAGATGACTATCTGATCGTTGCCCATAATGATCATAACAATTTTGACGCAGTTGTCACTGAAACTCTAACCATGTTCTTGACAGTGTTATCTCCATTGGTGCTGACGCATGAAGTACCACATGACAATTTCATAAGATTCCTTGACCTCGGGCTGTATTTTTCGCCAGCAAGAGTATGCTGGAGCTATGAACCGCGAGGGAATAAACCGGTTCTTCCGTTCACGTCCGCTCATTCGAAATCGGTATAGCGTGCGGTGATAAAATCCTGTTTTCAGAATTCACTGATGAAGTCGTGCCACCACAAGCTTGATGAGAGCTTGTGGGCTCCAGCAAAACGGTTATTGAACTCTGGCTACCCCTTGCACTTGTTGACCACTGTCGCCGAATGTATAAGCAGGATAGGGAGGGCAAACGGCAAAGACCAGGCAACCGCCACTAAGGCAGGCAAGGTTGCTGTAGTGCCTTATATGCATGCAATTTCGCATAACTTGCGGAGGATAGCAAGGAAGGCGGGTGTGGACGTAGTGTTTTCTGCTCCCAAAAAGTTGCAAGGAATGTGCAAAAAGGTCAATGCAGAAAATAGCGGGAAACAGGATTGTAAGATTAGGCACCGGGAGAAATTTGTGAATTGTTGTTGTGGTGTTGTCTATAGCACTCCTTTGACTTGCGGTTGCGAATACATAGGCCAATCTCGAAGGTGTGTGAATGAAAGACTAGAGGAACACAAGTACAATGTAGAAAGAGCTGTATGTGGTCATTTGGCCCTTCACTGTCAGAGGCGTGGTTGCGTCCCTATGTTCCAAAACACCCGTATACTCTTTAAGGCCCGTGACAGAACCACACGTGAAATAATTGAAGCTTTTGAAATAGAAAAAATGAAAGGAAAATGTGTGAGTGTGGCTTCCATAGCATTATCATCTAAAGAAAAGAAGTATCTGGAATCTTCACTTTGACGGGCTAGTGTAGATTCTCACTATCGGTGATGACACGTGCATGGGCTGTGATGTATTCTTGACGTGACATTATCCAGGTTTTATCAGTCTACTGTTGTAAAAACAGCGTGTGTGATTGCAAATAAAACATTAGTTGCAAGTTAGCGCTGTGTGTGTGTGCATCTCTCCTTTGTGTGTGTCCTTGTCGTGGTGCGCTATACCAGAGAAATGGTTGAACCATCAAGTAACTTCCATACTTATACTTGTGCATTTGAACTCTTTAGCATATACTTAACGAGTGCGGTCGTTTTGATAGTGTATAATCCCTCCAATAGGATATTTTGAGGAGCGTGAGGCGTGTAAGCCGATAACGCTGCAGCACATGAGGACAAGAATGCAAAAGATGTGCAAAATGGGGGAGGGCGAACCACTGGCAGTAGAGGGCGGCGAAGGCAGCGCCATACTAAACACATATTAGTGCTCGCACGTAGGTGGGCGCTGGAGTGACGGTGACGTCATTTCTCTTCGGCCAAGGCGTTTGTTCAAGCAAGAAAATTTTGGAGAACCTTCGATAAATTGTCATGTATAGGAATTTACCTACACAAGACGCTATAGAGATGTCTTGATCAGTGCACAACGACAGTTCTGTGTGGCCCCAACACTGGGTCACGCATTGTGCCATATTAACTTCAGACAGTGATGCATGTGGCCGATTAGGACTAATTCAAGTGTTTCACAGGTGTATGCTTCGGTGCTGCGTTAGTAGAGAGAGAGAGAGAGAGAGAGAGAGAGAGAGAGAGAGCATGAGAGGGAAGATGCGCTGTGTGCGCCCTTAATAGGTTTATAATGAACTGCCTATATCGCTTCTTCAGTGGCCGTTTGTACACATAAACTCTGGAGTCGCGTCAACCACCACGTGTTTCTTCAAATGCCTTGAGACGCACTGTGTACATTCGTGCTGGATTCACAAGTAGACAAGTAGCGGTCATTTAACTTCAGTGTGTCACGTGTTGCTGTTGCAGATATTTCACTAGAAACACTGTTATGTTTCACGATAGTGCAAAGTGCTGTGTTCCCGGACTAACATCAAGAGTTTTATGTCCTTTTACTCAAACAAATACAATCGAAAAACACTGTGCGTGCATTTTGTGCCTAATGCTTGAATCTTTTTATTCAAGAATGGCAACTTGCCAATAGCAATATAACAGAATATTTGATTGCACGATAATTGACATAATTACTCAAGATCAAACAAAACAGCACATTAAAATATTTTCTTACTTGAAATGTAATATTCAGTTTTTAGGAATCGGACTAAGCGAGTTCGATGCATTTGCATGCAATGCATTCTAATTCGCAACTGAAAGAGCTTTATGTCAAAATGCAGAAAATCGACCGACCTATCGTGAGCATGGCGGCGCAAGACAGTTGCCTGCCTCTGCACGGGATCAATTTGACCGGAGCAGTGGTTCTTATTAACGACACCAGCCGCTGTCCTCTCGAGACAGCAGCTCGAAACTACGGCAACACCAGCGCCTACGCGCTAGTCGTCGGTCTGTCCGACAACAGGCTGGTGAGTTCGGCGGCTTCCCACTGATCCCAGTGTGCATTTGTTTCTTACGGGATACCACCGTAAAGACAGTCAGTGTTAACATTAGGTCAGCACAAGAATGGGGGGGGGGGGGGAGGTGGCTCACTCAGACTCGCTCAAGAAATATATTTTGCGCTTATGACTCACACGGATTTCGATTCGCACAACTCACGCTTTGTGGGACTCCATAGAACTCATACTCAGAAAACAATTATCTCAGAATACCTAGCTGGCACTCAAGCTCACCAAAGTAGTACTCACTGGGTCTTACCCAGACTCAAACTCAAGGCCCGATTTGAGTCCTATTGAGTCTAACTCAGTCGACTCATTATATAGCTGACCTATAGTGTTAACAGATAAAGTGAGCCTGTTGGCGCTGCCTATAGGTGCTGGACCGGTAGGATGATGAAAGCTCTAAAAGACGCTCTCGTTCTGTCATGGACTTGATGCAACTGATATATTGTTAGTGTTCAATGCAACAGCAGTGAAAAAAGTAAGTCCACGTAAAAATAACTTATTTTCACCTGAAATGTGGCTTCAGAATGATGTGAGGGTGAAAAAAAAATTCAACTAGCTTAGTTTCGCGAACACCGATGAAACAGTAAAGCTGGGGGCATTTTTTTCGTCAGGCAAATTCACTTCTATGTTCGGCAAGTCATTTTTGATCTGTTGTATCACTGGTCTTCCATAAACACTTTTTGTTAGGATTTGAGGTTATAGTATAGCTTTACTGCATCTTAACCTTTCTTATACAAAGATTCAAGAAGAGGCATTCGCGTAATTTGCTCCTATATGTTCTCACAGCGCTTTAATAAACGCAGTTTGTTAAGCTTTGAGGTGGCTGTATAGCCACAACCTTTTATAGCCATAAAGGTGTCACGTGACCCTGATGCAGCTACGATAACACAGCCACCCCCTGTTGGGCGAACTGTTGCGACCTTCCTATTTAGTGAAAGTTCTGTTCTGCAGGATTTATCCCATTCCTGAGGCACATACTCGGTTCTTTAAGCTTTGCATATTTAGTGAACCAGAGTCGAGTAGTGGATTTACTGAATATACGTGGTGCCTACCTGTTCATGAAGCTTACAAGCATTACCATCGATCCCGGATATGACAGGCTCAATGAACTACAACTCCGCTGTTAAAAATAAAGGGGGGAAAGGCGTTAGGCGATAGGAGCAGACAACTTGCCGGGATAGTTATATCGCGCCTATAAAATTACCTATCAAGGTGTGTTATACGCGGTAAAATACGCTTTTAGGAGAAAATAGAGTTGGTACTACTCCATGCTGATGTTTAAGAGCACGAAACGGACAACATGAAACAGACCAATTGCACAATGAAGCGCTGAATTAAAACTAACATTTATTATCATAAACTGGCCAGGTTTATTTCTACACCGACACATGGAAACGGATGCGTGAAACCACAATCGTAAAACTGAAGGACAGCTATCACCTCAACAAAAAAAGTATACCTAACAAAAAAAAAAAACAATAAATGGCTTCCTGCGCTTGAGGTTCACAGAACAGATAAAATACAACTGACGGCAAAACGACGCTGTTCATGCTTTATTTTTTAAAACTCGGACATGATAGCTATCCTCCAGTTTTTAGATTGTGGTTTCCCGCTGGAGTTTCCATATATGGGTGTAGCATAGAACCTGACCAGTTTCTGCGAAGTAACTTTAGTTTCAAGTGCGCGCTTCTTTGTTTAATCTGTCTCTTGTATCTTGTCTGCCTCACTCTATTGATTACCACGTGGGCTACAGGCGTTGTCCAAGCTGGCAAAGCTCTTTAAACGCGTACCACATTACTGCATATATCAGCAGATACAGTTGCCGTGCTGCTCACTGTAAAGCGATTGTGTAGGAGGATAACGTTATTGAGACCAAGAGTAGATCAGACGATTTGGGGGGAGAGGAAAAGGAGTAAGAGAATAAGACAGCGGGGGCTTAGGCTACTCTCAGTAGGCCTTAAGTCCTTCCATTTCAGCGAACCCTCCGGCTCCGCCTCCTATCAAAAGGTAGTCTTTCAATCGTGAGCTGCGCAGAGCAGCCTCCCTGCGCTCTCCTCCGTGGACCTATTTTAATCCTGTACATCGAAAGTGACCAATCAAGCTGAATCTCCTGGCTGAGCCTCTTGAGAACATTGACAATATTACCAAACTTTAGCCATTTTATTCTTCTGGTAACACTTCTCATTCAAAGAGAAGTCACGATCTCAGTGAAATTTGGGGGAATACAATGAACAGCGAGATGGTTACCTTTTTATTTCCACAGGACGACTCAGTTTACGAAAGGACATCATCGGAACAACTGAATATATCTGTTGGATTTATCAATAGGAGGAGTTTCGTAATTCTGTTGGTGAGTGAAGGGCAGATCACGCATTCCTGCGTAATTTAGCGCACGGCATACTCAGAGTGAAAATTTCAGCATACGTTTCTTTTGAAACAAATATTCTTGGGAAACAATTTATCTGATTCCGTTTATGGTCAAACTACCACGTTCCCTGAGCGTCTGCAGTTTGCTTCCTCATTAAAAAAAATTGCTTCATTATAGAAGACCATGTAAAAGCAACATATAAATGCAGAGAAAATGTTTCTTTTCAGTATACTAGAATCAGGGCACGAAAATATTGAATAAATTTTGTAAAACAGCGTTTTTTCTCGCAACTATTCATAGCACCAGGTTTGTTTCACCACAAAATCTTACGTGTAAAAAAATTGATTTCATGTTCATCGAACACTGAAAAAAGTAGCTCTGATGTGTGCAGCATTTTAATATATAACCCCAAAGAAGATATGAACCTTTCAGAGCCTCGTTGTCTAATACTGACATTGCTTACCAAAGCTTATAACTTGTCATGCTCACTTAACGAAATAACGATAAATATGTTATCGTCACTGTTTAATTTATTTCAGGCTCATATCAGAGAAAATATCACATTTAACTGAGACCTGTCGATGGTATTCTGCTTTTTTCTAATTGATAGATGACCGTCCTAAATAAACAAAATGTCTTCGAACTGTTTCTGGCACGTTTACTTTCATTTGCCACCATAATATTTATATGTGGTTGTTGACGAACAGGTAAATTCAATAATATTGCTTTTTCATTTGACCAGAAAATGATGACAGCGAACGAACAACTGATGGGATTTATGTTTGCGAAAGAATACGGAATGGACGTAAGCCTGATACTGGTGTGGTTCATCGCTACCTTCAGCGTGGCAGCGGGTGCTTTTTGGGCAGGAACCGTTAGTTACCACATGTAAGCCACGAGAACCATATTTTTTTATATTTAATATTTCCTGCAAACAAATCACAGTTCTATGAAAGAGTGCTGAAAAACATGGCACTGAAAGAATAAACACTTCTAGAGCACTTTAACTGCACCTTCCGTCAAGCGTAGAACATCATAGCGTAATCAGGCCCCGTGCAATTCGCCTTCTCAACTGCTAGCCTGACTTCTGTTCTTGGGGCATGCCTCAACCATGCCACTAGGATAATGTGCACGCAACATTAACGGGTTCAAACTATCTTTGAATACCCATCGCAAGTACACTTGCTACGTGCTTTCTACACTGCCATTTATCCTTTTGCAAAACATGCATTCTGAAAAGGTCGGACATGATGAAAATAGGCTATTTTACCTAATAAATGTGGGCCCCACCCTCTTGGGCTGCTAAGCTAATATTTTTCGTTTTCGTATACCAGGATCTTTAACCAGGATTTTTAACGTCATAAACCACCAAAGTGTGCACCAACCAAAGTGTTTTTATGCATATGCATCTACCGTAACGCTGTTCGATTAATTGTTAAAGATGCAAAGTAGAAGGGTTAACTGACCAACATGGCGGCACTCAAACCCGTCCGTAATACAATCTGTAGAGTGAACTCTTGAGCTCTTAGCGTTCGAATCGAAAATTAAATTGAATTTAGTTGCATACAGGGCTTACATCCAGACTGATTGCCAGCACACGTGCGTGCACGTGGCGGCATCTATCCATGATCATAGCAACTATGTAAGTTGAGCAGACCCACTCGACACCACTATCCTCATTACCTAACGCCAATCTTCGCAAGGACTGATACTTTTCGGTACTCCTTCTTCCCACAAACAATAGATGATTGGAATAAACTAACCGAAGCATTTCCTCAACGCCCCTGACCATTTGTGTAAATACTCTTCTTCCATGACTTCCTTGAATGGTATTGTCACCTTGTTGTTCAACTGTTACTTTTTTTAAAGCCATAACTTCTCTGTCTTTTAGCAAAGAAATTGTGTAAAAAACGCTTTGCAACCTTGTTTCATTCTGTTATTTAGTGTGTTTCATGTATGCTCACCCTGCTTGAACTTTTTGTCTGCAGTATTCTATAAATAAATAAACAAGCCACGATGCAAAAACAATCAAATATTTATGAATTTGGTCATTAGCGCTTCAGTGTGAATGTATGGCATCATTTGTGAAAATAAAGAGTGACAATTTCAAGCTAAGCTCGAGCATTAGTCGTAGGTTCTATACGTGCTGCGCTATAACGTTTAGTTCGCTTGTTCTCCGGAAGCTCGAATAAATATTAGTGGCCTTTCCTGAGCATGCTAAAACGTTTTGCAGAACCCCTCTCACTGAATCAGTTGCCTTTATGGGTTGTTAGTAACATGAAATAAGATAACTGTTCCTGCGTATGTACGTGCTCGCACTTTTATTTGGTTGTCGTTTCGTTTCCTGGCTCTTCAGTCACTCATTCGAGGGATTGGATTGGATAAACTTTTATTGATTGGATAAACTTTTATTTCATTCGAGGGACGTCATTGTAAATTTATAATACTTCTCTGTACTAGTACTGTTGTTACATTTTCTTTTGTTTGTCAAAATCACCGGCCTTGCTTAAGGATGCATTGTTTCATCAAGTAAGCCCGGTGGCTCCACGCTGTGGCTATCTATAGTTTTGTTTTCCTGGGCAGTATATGTGAATGAATCCGATTGCAGCTACCGCTATCATGCGCACACTACGAGGAAGCTGGCAGGCATGCCTTCTCGACGAGCAGTAGGCGAAATGCGGAAGCCAGGCCAGCCCTCTGCTGAAGCTGGTGCTGTAGGTGCCGGTGCCAGTGGTGCTGCTGGAGGTGCTGCAGGTGGTGCCGTAGTTGGTGGCGCTGCTGGTGCCGGCGCTGGGGGCGCCGCTCATGCCGGTGTTGGTGGCGCTGCTGGTGCCGGGGCTGCTGCCTGGAGCTGTAGCCGGTGCTGGTGCTGCCGCTGCTGGTGGCGATGTGTCCAAACGAGAAATCGCCGGCACGAAGCGTATGACTGAAAGCAGTGTCGGCGACATCGACGCCGAGCTGACGCCCGTCGGCATTCTCGTCTTCGTGGTTTTCATGTCTTCCTCGCTCGTCATTATATACCTGCTCATCCAGTATCTCGGTCAGTGCACGCTGATCGTTTGTCGCAGACGCAGGATGTCTTGAAATTTGCACACGTATACTCCTTCCGAAACATCTGTCAATGCTAGAATGCCCACATAACAATGACGGATGAGTGCTATTAAAAAAAAAACACATAAATTTATGGCTACGCGATTGTCCCTGATCCGCCGAGCAATGTTACCGTATGGGTTCCTTAAAGTAGCACCAGGCTGTAACCACTTCGGCCATGGTCACTACACAGCGCAACAGGTTTCTCTGCTGCTGTTCGATTTGGAACTTTTAAGAAACAAGGAACCACGAGGCATGCTGTACCGTACATTTAATGTTTCTAACCCTTCGTGCGTGATGCGAAATTTTTCGTCCAAAAGCTTTGCAGCCAGGAAGGGTCAGTGAACATTAAATTATCGGGAGTATGTTATGAAGCAGTGGCATGTCTGGGAGCGCCGTAAAAAATTAATCTATTTGGTAGACCATAAGGAAGGCACAGCTGAAAATTTATGACTCTATGAGAGAATTGCTAGCTTTTGGTACCATTCGGTTTAACGCCGCCGACGCTTCCGACGCCATCGATGCCACCAGATGCCGGAATTCGTTTTGCGCATTATTTGGATGAGAATCGTGCTTTAATGACTTAGGAATGCCATGGGGGCCCTTGTGAAGGTATAGACGTCATAGATGGTTGAACTGTGGCAATATTTAACGACGGGTTTGCAACAATTAATAAATAGAGTGGGCGCGAGAGAAAGAAAATTCGGCAGATTTCGCGTATCGTGGTATAATCAATTATGTGCGAAGCATGCCTCATGAAATTGCTAGGTGACACGTATAAACAGGCATAAAATTATACGAGGTGAATGAGTTTAGCACTTAGTAAGCGTATGACAGATCGATGTTCTTCCTGCACAGACAATTAGGACCTTGCTGTTATGTTCGTGTTCTTTTATATAATAAAGTTTCTTTTTTTCAGTGTATGTCATTATCGGAATGTTTGTGCTGGCATCGTCAGTCGCCCTCATTGGCGTGCTCGACCCTCTGGTCCACAGGCTACCTGTCGGCACTACGAAGTACGAAATTTCTTGTGCTTTCTTGTCGTTTGAAAGAGGTAACATTCCACGTAATTCCGACGGCTGTGCCACGGCCCATCGCATGTAAACTAGCACGCCGCTTCTCGGAGCTCCGGCTGTGGTTGCACATGACTTTACGTTACGCATGACTCAGGGCTCATGCAAGCTAGGCGCTGTCGTATTTATACTGCTGGTGTAACGCGGCATATGGAATCCTTCGAATCTGTTGGAGCTTTTAGCAAAGCTTTTGCATGCAGTGGTAGTTTGCCAATACGTGCCTCGCGTGTAACCCAAGGAGGCTTTCTTAACCTCATTAATGTGACCTCACTGTGCCGTTTAAAGTGTGCAGTTGTCAAAACTATAAAGTGGGTGGTACTCTAGTGCCTCTAGAAAGAGTTAAGGTGGGGAATGTTAGCTGGCAAAAATTAATCCTGAGCCCCTACAACGGCGCGCCTCAAATTCAGAACGTACTTTCGGTCAGCAAAATCATTGTTTCTTGTAAATCATTTTTAGATGCGGAAGCATCTTATACTCGCGCCTTGTAGTGCGCCGTCCGCGCCGTCCGCCCGCTTCTCGAACATTCGACAGCTGACGCGCGCGCATGCGCCGTCGCGCCGTCGCCCACTCTTCCACCATCTGTGCATCCCTTCCTCCTCTACACACCGCGCGTGCTTCACTCCTCCACCATCTGTGCACCCTTCCTCCTCTACACACCGCGTTCGACATCTACAATTCTCCTGATTCTCCAGTGGACGCGCATGTGGCGTCGCGCTTCGAGAACATTCAACAGCTGACAGTGCATGCGCCGTCGAGCTGTATATATACTCAAGGTCGGCGCTCGCTCGCTCAGTTGCCGCTCGTCGGTTGGTTTGTACGGCGCGTCGACGTCCAAGGTCGCGGTGAAATGAATTCCAACGAATCCACAAACACAATGATCGACGTCCCTTCGACCAGCGCCGCCCTTTCGCATACGTGTGTACGTGTTCACTCATTTAACACCCCCTCCTACAACCACGTTAACCAATTTAGCCATCGACCCAAGTAAGTCGCAATTTAACACCCCATTTCACAACCACGTTAACCAATTTAGCCATCGACCCAAGTAAGTCGCACTTTAACACCCCGTTAACCAATTATATGCTCCGCATCCTCCTCAGTGTTCCCCCGAGGGAAGCTGCGGGAAATTTTTTTTTTCAACTTAAGATTAGTTTCCACCCTGTCGCTGAATAATACTCGATCTTGAATTACTTTATGACGTTGATGTGTTTGACTTCGGCCACCTCGGTGGAACAGTGGCTATGATACTCGGCTGCTGAACCGAAGGTCGCAAGTTCATTCCTGACGGCGGTGGTAGTTGCTTCCTGATGAAGCGAAATGGCACAGGCCGGTGTACTGTGCCATGTGAGTGCACGTTAAAGAACACCAGCTGGCTGAAATTCCCGGTGCCTTATACACAACAGTGTGCCATAATCATGTGCTTTGGGTGATAAAAACGCCAGTCATTATTATCATCATTATCTGTGTCACTTTGTGCTGCCGGTTCTTGCAGGATTCCCATGATCCCTTGCTTCTACATCCAACTGGAAGTGCGGCAGGTGTGTGTGATAGTGCTCTCCATCTTGGTTTCTTTCTCGTTCGTCGTGGTCCGGCACCACCCGTTGTCCTGGTTAATGCAGGACGCACTGGGCATCACATTCTGCATCTACATGATCAGGACTCTGCGCATGCCTAACCTTCAGGTGACACGGCGCAGCACATAATGTTTCCGTTTATTTCTCTTTTCCTTTCCCCTGACCTCAGGCGCAGAGCTTCTTAAAATTAACTGGCTTGGACGCTGCGATCGCTCAGCGAACACGGGAATGGTGGGTAGTAGACGGATTTGCCTAGTCTTCGTGCTTGCGGACGGCAAACGTACTTGTGGCTTCATTCATAGCAGTGTTTTGGTTTTCTCGCGAATGAAACAACAAACCGTTTTGAACTTCGTGACCTGTTTTGAATTCGTGAGCCTAAAAGGCTATGAAGTGCAGCTGCAGAATATTTGCTTATTCTAGTTTTGTGACAAAGCAGCTTCAAGCCACGCCAAAACAACTGGAGCTGAAAGTACAAAATTTACACAAATCACGTACTAACCTGAATTCCCACGCTCGCTGAATCACCATGTGTTTCAGCTCCCATAGACACTAGCGCCAAAGTTCCTCGCAGTGTATTATGAGAAGACTCTATGACCTCTGGAAACAGTATCTGTAGAGGAAAACGAGGTGTGTACTCATTCGGGGCATAACGCTGTAAGAATTGCAGAAGGAAACCTTCCTGGGCTTGTTTTCGAATCATGATGGTAGGAACCATGCGAACGTAAAGCACGTAGTCAAAAAAAAAAAAAATTTACGACGACACGAGCGCTCGCGTCATCATCGTCCTTCTTCATTCCGTGCTTTTCGTTTGCTCTGGTCCTACCCTAACTGTAAGAACAAACGAAAAAATGAAGTACGGTAGTTAGCGTCACGGCTTCGGGGATCTACACGCTTACGCACAGCGTGAAGAAAATAATCCACTAGAATATAGCAGAACGAAACACAAGCGCTATGTTTCGTCGTAGCTTGTTGTACGGTTTTGTTAGTTCCTTCACGCTGTGCAGAGCGGTGAAGAAGTTGAGGGAACGTACTTATTCATTATTATGTAGTACGCAAAGTTGTGGATATTGAACATGTATGCCTTATATCAGACAAAATACTAAAGAAGCGCTTTCATAGTTCGCAGTCAAAATCAGCAAGCTCATTCCTGCTTTTATTTTATTTGGCTTCTTATCTTCACTTTTCAAAAATGAAATATGCGCATGTGCATGGTAATTCTGTGTGTGATATAATCCAATGCCGAATATTTCGGACCCGCTACGGTGGCCTAGTGGGAACGGTACTCGATTGCTGGCCTGCAGGTCGCAGTATTTTATCACGGCCGTCTCGACCGCAGTTTCAGGGTAGGCGAAAATGCTGGAAGCACATGTACCTACATTTTGGAGCACGTTGAAGAGCCCTAGGGGGTGACTTTATTCGGAGCCTATTAACGAAAACCACTTTGTTCGAATCAACAACTTCAGTACAGGCGCAATGTAGGACGATGTTCAACAGCAAACATTCTTAGGACGAAAGAGCCATGAGAAGGTAATATCGAGACAAATTGTGACATGAGTAACGTGTTATGACGCTTGGAGAGTGACAGGAGTGATGAGAAATACAAATGATTCTATCGCAACATCTTCTGACGCAATTACCGGTTATCTTTATTGCACTGCAGATTATCGCCATCTTGTTGGTCTTGCTCTTCTTTTATGACATATTCTTCGTCTTTGTCACGCCATTATTTCTGCCGGTAAGCAAGCATCATATATTTGGTATTGTCAATTAATATTTCTAGACTATCTCAGAGCATGAATAAGCCTGTAATTGTCGCATATCTCTGACCAGATGTATTTTCTTTTAACAATATATATATATATATATATATATATATATATATATATATATATATATATATATATATATATATATATATATATATATATTTATATATATTTAATAGTGCTTCCCATGCGTTGACAAACGACGGACGAACACACGAAAATGTGTAATAAACTTTTTCGCACATTCATCCGTCGTTTGTTACCGCTTATATAAAACTATATATAGCTATTACCTAAACACATCACATTCCTCAGTTCTTAAAGTAAATGTCAACTCACTATTTCCCTATTTTCGGCCATTGACTGAGGAATACAGTGACGATAGTTTCTTTTTTTTATTTTTTTTTGTTGCTGTGCCCTCTTACGTTACTATACCGCCGTCATCCATCATCAAAAGATTTCTTTCCCGTTTTATAACTATGGTTTAGAATGCGAAGGCAGCAGGAATGTCAATTAATGTGATTTGTTTTTTACGTTCAGTTCATCGAGGAAGTTTAGCACAACAATTATTGATTTGTTCAAACAAAATACAATACTGATTGGCATTTCTTATTCTAATCGTTTCTTACATTTTGCGCATCACGTGGTTTTTGTGTTACCAATATTTCGTGCTGTATTCTCTCTGATAGGTTTCGGCACTGCAGTTTCCTTTACATGAAGCTTTACATTGTGTTCTTCCTCTCGTAATACACTCATCTTCGGCATGCACTTGCATTTGAGGGTACTTAGAATAAATCATTGAATTGGCAACTGTATTTCTTCCTCAAGTTTCCTAACTGATCGATTCTACACACATACCAGAGGCTTTCGAATGCCTGAATTTTGGATGCTCTTAGATATTTATCTTCACGACACGAGTCACTTGATGTGTTTTGTTCACATGATTATGGTGTCGTGAAGCACCGTGATTTATAGTGTGTAACACGCTGTCTCGAATTACATAGGGCGAGGGATCACAAGAAAAACATCCCAATCCATACCATACTCGCATGCTTGCATTGTTGATTGTGCAAAATTCTAATTTAGCTAATTTATTCATTTTGGCTTGTACGGTATTTGTTTTGCGCACGACTGTTTTATTCAGTGTTTTTTACCACAATACCAGGTCGTATGCCCGACATAGTTTCGGCAATATGTCTGCTTTCATACAGTTGCAGTTTTTCCTCCACAGAAATCGAGCCCTCACAATGCCACCAACAGCTTCGCCAAGTCATCGGGAGTAAGTAGTCATCTTGAAAACGCGCTTTCTTTGATAGATCCAAGTGTTTAGTAGATTCCTGGTTAGAATTCTGAAACCGAACTCTTCGCTCAAGCACAATTGGCACTCCATCTCGCGCATTTCACGCGACAGCGCTATTGTTATAGTGACGCCTACACTTCCCTTCTTCATACTGAACAGTGGATGTCAAGGCACTATTCCGACAATTTCAGCGCGCAAGAAACATCGGGGGACAAAACTGCCGTGTTCAGCGCAGGACTCAATGGTGGAATTACCTCGCTCACAATCACGAGAATATCTCTTGAATGTTTTCAGCGTGATAGGGTTCGTAGAGGTCTGACCCAACATAATGTGAACTGACAATAATTCTAAGACGACTTCAGACCCTTTTCAAAATGGTAAACGTACCTATTCTGCTACGCAATATGAACAGCTAATGGCGGCTAGTAACTCAAGGCAAACAGCCTGTTCGCGCTGACGTGGAAAATATAGAGTCGGCTCTCTTGATATAAACATGCACAGCCATCGGCGAGTACGAGACCATCACTCAGGTAACCCTAAGTAATGGTCTCGCACTAGCAGACACGATGCCATAAGTTAGCATACGAGGGATCATCTGCTAGCTGCCATCTTGTAAAGAGGTCACGTGCTACGTGATGCCTGCAAACAAGCAAAAAAACAGTGTTCCACGCTCAGTGTCCTGGCTTCATTCGGCAATAACTCACAAATATGAATGCACGTGCACGCTCCATTAAATGCATAAGGAGAATGACTACCCCAGTAGCTCTGGTGCTGGAGCACCGGATGCGTTATTTGTAGGTCGCAGGCTCTATCCCTGCAATCGGCAGATTGTATTTTGGTCCCGGTTCTTTCTTCACACGTATACCCTAATCACTACAATTGTAATCCTCTATAGTTTCCTTTGTCATTATTGCCTGCTCTAATCATTACTGTAACTAAGAAAAGCAAGCCTTTAAAATTGCACTTGTCTCTTTCGTATACGTAAGCATTGTTTCGAGCTGTGCGATGACTCACTGTATTGCGCCAACTGAAAGTGTGTTCAGTGCCTGCAACCGTCCAGACAAAAAAGAGGCTTGAGTTGCATATTGAAAACATGTCAAGTGAACCAACAATTAGACCAGGAAAAGCATAGACGGCATAAATTGAAGTCTTTAAACGTAGTTCACCTTCTTATTGTCACGTAAACTAATATTACTCGATGTAAACAAAACATCAACTTCCCCGTCGGTGAGATTTCAAGCGACGAACACAATAAGTCAAGTGCGGTACAATTAAGGAGGGACATGATTGTTAATTTCTTAAATACCGATAAAATTTTAATAAAAATAGGTGAATTAGTGTATATCTTGTGCACCCATGTCTCATGACCAAATATATTTCTCACAATGCTTAGAGTGCAAAATACAAAATATTACATCTGCCATTCAGTCAAAAGATTTTTTAGCTAAGGAAGTTTAAAAGGTAAATAGGCATATCAGAATAATATGGAATCATAACTGTGTGCGATGCAACAAAAATAAATGTTGTAAATCTATTAGAAGAGAAGATCTGACATGTTGAACATTTGCGAGTGAAATCCCTCTTTGATACGGGCTCACTCTCAAATGGACAACGTGCGATAACTTTCGTTTAAATAGAATTAGGGCATCCATTTTTTTGCAGCACTGCCTATATTTCTAATTTTAAACTGTTTATATAAGCGCATTTACCTTGTGGCTCTCCTAGTTTAGAAAAATAGAAATCTTGCTTATCAAAAGGCAAATAAAAATACTTTATTTTAAAACGTTGTTACTGTACTCAATATATACTGTGAGATTTCAAACAGGCACACTGGTGCACCTAAGCACACGGAGTTTCAAAAATATAACCAAGAAATAAAAGCTATTTTTTTTTAGTAATGCGTCCCATAAAAAACGAGAAATTCCCATCTTCTATGCTTTTGCTGGCCTAACTGTCAGTTCGACTCATCTGGACGTCTCTAACATGTCTAAATAGGCCTCAATTCTGCTTGCTTGGATTGTATTTCAAGAGTGGTATACCTCCCGCTGTGCGCAGAAAGGCGATAGTATCATGGTAGAAGTAGCCCGAGGCGGTGGCACCGACGAGCTCATACCGATGGTGTTTCGAGTTCCTCGGCTCGGCGACCACGACCTGGCCGCTTGCTTCGGAGAGTGGACGCTCCTTGGACTCGGTGACATCCTCATTCCTGGTGGGTGGGAAACTGGTATATGCGCATTACGTCACGGAACGTCACTAACGACTTGTAACGTTAGCGACCTATAGTTACACTTCTTCCCTTTATTCATACGAGAATCTTGTTCTGGCAGACTTGATGTTCTCAGGTAGTATCTGAGAAATTATTGCTCGTAATAACATCAAGTGCTATGTGACACCAACAGACAAGAAGAAGAGTGTGCCACATTCACCCTAACGGCTACTGGCGGCGCTGACTGACATTCCCACGTTTAAAGCCCATGTATACCTCGGAGTGGCCGGGGGGTAGACGCAATGGTAGCTGCGTTGTCGAGCATCGGGCGCGTTCTTGGAAAGGTCACAGGTCAAGTCACCGCCAGCGGCATGTTATATATTTTCCTCTACCCTTATCTTTCTCATTGACATTATCATTACTTCAAGCGGCGCCCCCTATACATTCTTTTACATCATTGTCTGTCTCAGTACATGCGTACAAGAACAACACAGAAAAAACTAGCGCTTGAACTCACTCTTCTTTCCTTCATTACCGACTTGTAGAACATTTTAGATGATCGCATGCACCCTGGCTGCACTGTATGACATACCTTCACTTCTCCTGAAAAAAATGTGGGCTACGTTCAATCATTGTGGAAACGTTTGTGTTCAAAAGTCTGCAGCCGCAATCTTTACGTTGGTTATTTTAGGCGACGGAACAACAATAATTCACGATGTATTTCAGCCAGTCCGAGTTACACACCTGTTGGTTCTTGGAGTCAATCAATCGTGAATGCCATATATAAATCAAGTACGTGAGCGCTAGCCCATTCTGAAGCCACATCTTGAAATTCTGTGGTATTGTCATGCGGTACATAATTTCACCTTTTAAATGATGCGTATTTCGTACCTCGTCTATGCTTGTGGGGGGACAAATATAGTTAACCCTTAGGCAACTTTCAGGACTTGTACAACTAACCAATTCTCTGCATCGACCATTCTGAAGCAGACATCTTGAATTTCCTCCTTGATGCTCGCAGGTTTCTTGGTTGCATATGTACACGGTTTCGACCTCATCGCGTCTCAACGCCGCTTCTATTATACAGTGACAGTGATCGGTAAGTGCGTTCATCCTCACTCATGGACAAACTGTTGAGCATTTTTCGCCCCATTAGGTTTGTCAGCGCAGTATTAACAATTCACAACAGTTTTTGATGAATAGTGACGTATATCCATGCAACTTTCGACGTTTTACTGCAGTAGCCTATATAGTCTTACGTATGCCTCGAACAGCCCCCATTTTGTTATGACATGGTCCTAAAAAAGAGTATCCCTATGTTAAAAATTGAAAATAGTCGCAGCCAATGAAATTCCTTGAATGTGAATTCAGTTTTTTGAGTCGTGCATTTAGGTCATATAAAACATGATTTCTCAAAACGGGGTTTGCAGGCCTGTCCCCGGGGCTGCGCGAGACACTGATCAATTTTACCTGGTTCCACAATTAACGAATAGCTTAGATAGCATGCCCATGGCGTGATCCATCTAAGAAACCTCTGATACTCACACCCGAACGCTGATGAAGCGTCTCCTAGTGCTTAGCGAAAATTCGTGAGTTGCGCGTTAAATCCGCCATGCAGTGTGTAGCCAGCTAGACGTCAAAAACAAGCCGCGTGGTTATGCTGTTGAACTGAAATCTCGGACGCCTTATATTACTCCCGTGTTCACATCTGCTGCTTGTCGATAGATCACAAATAAAAAAGTGGGCATGCTGTAGTCATTCACATAAAAAAATCTTCATGAGCAGAACTTTTGGACACAAGCTTATTTAAAGAATAAGCACAAGAATTGGCTGAACTTCCCAGCCGAATCACGGCTGACACGGAGTGTTACAGAGCGTCGCACCGGATTGTTAGTGCAGTGGAAGTGAGTTCAGTGGCACGTTTGTCAACAAACTTTTCAAATCCTTTCTTTTTTATTTGAAGTGTGAACCAAATGAAAAATGGTTGCGTAAAATCTGGGGAGGGGATGAGGAAGGGGGTCAGCTTCCTTGGTATTTATCGGAGCTTAGCCAACTTTCCTGTCATCAACATGCTTTAGAACCACTGTCATGGACATATCATTTGTGAAATCCTAATGTTGCGCACAACCACCACGGTGTATCTCGGTGCTTCATTTCACAAGTGACCTTGAAGTTCGAGGTCAGAGCACCTAGACAAGGGACTATTAACCCACAAACTATATTCAAAGCAGGCTCGGTTCCAGACTTCAATTCTTTCAATTCATATTTTATTTAAAATAAAACTAGACAATACTATTATCTTGCTCTCGCAGAAAAAAACTTTTCTTCCCGTGGTTCCATGTTCAAGAGCCTGGCATTGTACGACGTGTTCAGCAGTGTAAGGTTTCCGTGCACGTTCGGCTGAATACCTCTGTTTGAGTTTCTAAGAAAGCGCTTCGGTGCACTGACACAGATGCAAATGGCACGCTCACTCACAATATCAATTTAATTAGTTTTTTTGTAGCGAGAGATACATCGAACCTATTCTTGCCGTTTGGCTGTGACCTGTGGCCCCACCATGAGCCGAGCCGTTGACCAGTAACCACCGCAGCAGGCAGTGGCGCTCACCGCACTATCTGGTATGACCTCAGAGGAGAAGCCGGTGAAGCCGCGTTACAAGAGAGGAGGAGCCAGCGTTGTGTTAACTCCGTGGTATTCGTGAGCAGATATGGAAAGGAAGTGGCAGGGACTGAAAACCAGGCTTCATCGTCAGAACGTAGCCAAGAGGAGGCAGCGAGCCAAGGAGACGGGGAAACACTCAGACATACGAAGCTAATAATAAAAATTGTTGCGGTTTGTCGTCCCAAATACGCCATGTGACTATGAGAGACGCCTTAGTGGAAGGCTCTAGAAATTTCGACTACCTGGGCTTTTTTTCCGTGTACCCAAATCTGAGCACACGGGCCTCAAGCATTTTCGCCTTCATCGAAAGTGTGGCCGCAGTGGTCTGGATTCAATCCCACGACCTGCGGGTCAGCATCCGAGTGCTTCTACCACTAGACCATGCACCGTGCAGGGTACATGCGAAGCCAAAGGATAAAGATGTAACCATGTAGAGAACCAAGCTAAGCAATAAGATTAACCGTGCCTCACGCTATGCACACAAAGGTATAACTGAGATAAGACACAGCCAATTCTTTTTTTCCTTCATATGTTTGTTTGTTTGTCTTTTTTGTTGTTGCAGGATACGGCGTGGGCCTTGTAGTGACCTTCTTGGCGCTGTTCCTCATGAAAACCGCGCAGCCCGCGCTGCTCTACCTGGTGCCTGCAACGCTGATCCCCGTGGTGGCGATCGCCCGGTGTCGGGGAGAGTTGAACGACATTTGGTACGGATTCAAGGCAAGTCGTGGGCACCGACTTTGTATACTCTTTACGCTTTGTATGTTTTGTACTACGCTGGCCTACAAAGTTTATAATGATAAGCCAGTGTAGACTCTCTTTGCAAGGGATGTCCTGTCTATACTGAACGCGTACAGACTTCTGTCCCTCATTAGCCCATTAGAAGCGAATGTCGTGCTGCAGTGGCGAATACCGGTCCCTAGCTGCGTGCTTGGAGCCTCAGCAGGTGCCTTCCCTGCGTACATCGCGATAAGCGCTAGCGTCAGCACCACTTCCAGTGTAGGCGGGAGCGCCTACTGCTTCGCATCAGCACATGGTTCCCTTTAGTGGGAGATGGTGTAAGTTATTTCTTTCTTCGTGTAGCCACTCGCTTATTCGAAAGATTCTTCTTGGTTACAGCCCGTGACGCCTCCCCCATCGGAGGAAGCCGAGCCGCCTGCAGTCGCCCAAGGGAAGGAGCAGCGGACGGACTCACGGCGCAAGTCCCTCGACAAGTCCGAGGAGACCACTTCGACCGAACCATCCGGCTCCGCTGTCGGAGACCCTCCGGCCACTCGTTCGCCTGCGCAGCCGCAACGTGTCGTGAGGCCCACGATCCCTTCGCCCGCCGGAGCTGCCTCTTCAGTACAGCCGCCCGCTCTGCTGAGCACCATGTTTACCTTGGGAATGCGCTAGGCGTAGAAAGTTGTTCTGAAAAAAAAAAGGCCTGCTTATCACCTCTTTTTGAAGATTCCGACTTTTATTTAGCAGTTCATCACGCATGTTGACTTGTATGGCATTCACTATGTGGCAACGAGCTAGAGATCCACGTAATTCAGCTGTGAATTACGTACGGTGATTTTGACACTCTTGCGGTAAATCGATAGCACATGCCTGTTCAGAATGGAATTTTTTTTATGTTTACTATGATGTATTCAATTCATGACGTATCATAGGGTACATCAAGAGAGCGACCCAATGGGAGCCTTAGTGCGTTCAAATTCAATATGGTAGCAATTGTTTCCTAATAAGAAAATATTCATAAGTAAATTCTCTGGCCAGTTTCTTGTTTGCATTTGTAACTAGAAATAAAATGTTTACTATCATGCGAGATAGTTTAGGATCTTTTCTGGATATTTTAGCTATTTTGTGTGAAGACAAAAAAATGAAAAGACAAGCTATCGCACCTCGAACGTCTCCCTCAATCTCTGAATGACAGTTAACGAGCATAGGAGTTTTTTTTTCTGCACTAAAGAAGACTTTGCACTTTGCCCCTCTCTTCTACAATTGTGCGATTATACAAACCTGTATAGTGTAAGATGTATTCATGCGTGACATTACCTAAGCGGAAGATATAAAAAGACGTACAAAGTAATATATGTGTTTCAATTATAGAGTGCAAGTGTTTGGCGTTTATTGGTATATCGACACATATCTGAAAAGACGGACATTCTTCTTGTTTTGGTTCACCGAGCATAAAAAACTGTTCACAATTGTCTCGTCATAAACTTTAGTCCTTGACGCTCGTCTACCCGGACGTTTTGTCTTGTGCTCGTTCTGAGTATTGTTAATGTAAATAAAAACTTGGACGTTGCTTGAGCTTCGCCTTCAAGAGTAAAACGCAATAGTGTAATTGGCCTTCTTTCTAATTTATAATTCACTAGGCAGGCTGCGTTTCTCGGTGGCAGTCTCCACCGCGCTGTCAAGCGAAGGTCTGCGCAGATTTATCATTGGCTCTCGTAAAATGCATGCGCACTACAAAAACATTTGCGAAGTGAGGACTGTACGCAAAAATTTTTTTTTCGAATGGTCTTAGTACCCACTTCTGCCCAGCTGCCTACTTTGTTGGCGCTGTTGCCGCTAATGATGATAAATCGGAGCTGAGCCCTTTGAAATAAGTAGGCACTTCTTGAGCGCCTGCTGAAAACAATACAGGCTGGGTATACCTGCAGGTGGTACTGCTAGTATTTCAATGACTGCCCTTTCTCCGACGACGCTACTTCATGTATTATGCTATTTACAAAATATATTTATGCTTAGTACAAAATGTGACCAAGATTGCAGACTACTATCAACCAGTTTGTCTTCAATCGGGGGTAATGTCACAGCAGCCACGCTGAAACGTGCTCCATACACAAACCGTTGTTCTGTGGCAATGCGACACAGGAAATTGTTTCAATTTACATGTACATCGCCAAAGTTGTCATTCATACTGCTCTTAAGAAACAGCAGCCCATTTTTCTGGAGCATTTGCGATATATTTTGCGATATAACCTTATGAGGGACCATTATCACCACGATGTTTCTGGTTAGCGGGACAGCTTAATGATGATGATGACCTCATGTGAATGGCGCTCAACCACTAAGGGGGATGGGCCAAGAACCACGAGGCAGGATATTTAAAGTAATGAGCAAAAAAGCGATCTAAAAATTAGTTTCAGACAAAAATGCAAAAAAAAAATGCTTGTCGAGCGATTGGTGACAGAAATAACTACGAATTTTAAACTAAAAATCTGAAAAATTAAGGGTAGACTTACAGGGTAACATTTTTGTTGCCTTGAGGTAGTCAAACACAGTAGAGCATGCATTCCTGTGGCAGCAGCATAATGAAGTGCCGCCAAGTGATAAAAGTACGGTAACAATTACTACAATTCCCAAATTCTGCATGGAGGCACTTAAATATCTTTTTTCTGATAAAGATAATGAGGACGGAATAGAAAAATATGTTCAGTTGTTTCAATTTCGTTGCAAACAATGCGCGACGGGGGCACCTCTAGTCCAACTTGGTTTAAGTAATAATTTAGTTGTAGAACTGCACAGTGCCATCTGGTATAAGTAACTTCTAACTGTCGGAATACACACCACTAAGGTTCGCACAACGTGCAGGTTCATGTCACGGCATGAGTCATATTTATAGTAATCAGTACACACTAATTTACTTTATCAACTGCCTTGCTGAATTCATGTTCTACATGCACACTAGGCTTCCCACTTTGGACAGAAAAAAAAAGCTCTACCGTGCTTAACTTCGCACAACTTTGCCTTTATCCTGATGGAGTGGTACACATCACTCACATAGACTAGCACACACAGCCCAGCTTAGTGCTATAAATGACCCCACCCCCTTCTTACGCGTTTATTCTCTCCTAACTTCTCGTTTGACGATGACAATGCTCGTTTTGACAACGTTGGCTTCAAAGTCTCCGCAATACCGGCGTTTTGCTTGTTTCGAGTAGTAGCAACACTACTTTGACGTTTCCTTTCAAATTATCAGTTCCGTGTTCCTGTTTCGCGAACTAATCACGATTAACTTTATGCATCCACCACATAAGCAGTATTTGGACATTAAAAAACCGTGATAAATATTGGCATAGTCGTGAGACTCCGTGGAGAGCACTCCTGTAGCGTAGTCGCACATTCCATCTGCAGCTCATTTATTATTTTTTTCATAATGCCTTAAAGAGCCCATAAAGTATTGAGTAAAGGGGGGGATACAAAATAAATGGACAAAACCACGTCAGCAAAGACAAGAAAACAAGTCATGAGAAATCATGGTTCAATTGATTAAGTTAGAAAAAAGATTATTACCGGCAAAAAGACGCAGACAAACAAAAGAAACAACGTAAGTATATACCGAGAAAAAACAGTTAACTTCATCTGCGTGAAAACTCTGTACTTGGTCTTTCAAACCAATAAATTATTGGCTAGTGCGCCTAGGAATAAGATGATGCAAAAAATATGGCCAGATTTCACCTTCCCTTCGGTCAATCCCCTCCAAAGGGTGTGTCATGTGCGGAGGCCTCGAAAAAAAAAAAGCTCTGAATGATTTATCATCAACTTCTTCCCCATATATTAACCTCCGGTTTCATGGGTGATCCTCCGTAGTAAGTAGGTGCCAAAAGTCAAGGCACAAGCAAGCAACCAATAGAATCAGTGGGTAGGCGCTAGGAATGTGTGAGAATTGTCATGCTGGATCATCATGAATCATCAGTAAAACGAGGCACTTGATGTGAGCCGGTTAGAAGTGCCACAAAAGGTATTTAGGTTTTCAGTTCTCCACGGACCATGGCACAAGCACGTAATAGCCACTTTCTTCCGCCTATATTAACCGACGGTTTCCTGGCCAGTCGCCTGTAGTCGATAGGTGCCAAAAGTTAATGCACAAGTAAAGAAGCAACCAGTTTTATCAGTGGGTGGGTGCCAGAAATGTTAAAGGAACATCATCATCATCATCATCATCATCATCATCAGTGGAACGAGGCACTGGAAGTCAGCTGGCTGGAAGTGCAACGAATGGTGTTTCGGTTCTCAGATCGCCACTGGCCATGGCACAAGCCCGCAGTCAAACACGATGGCAGCGCCCTAGCTGAGACATACAGCGTCGCCAAGAACTGTCACCTTCCGAAATCGAGGACGTCGTGCCTAGTGAGTCACACTTGCAGCCAAGCCTCCAAAAAACAGTAGCACGCATAGTTTTTTGGACGCAGGCGGAGCTTCACCCGACCGCGACGTAGTACTTCCTGAGGCCGTGAGCGCAGCGACACGACGCACAGGGTTCGCCTGTCACAAAAATGACGTTGATAGTACCTCCAAGAAAAGCCAGCGTCAGCGCTGTGAGCTTAGTCGCAGCCATCGTCTCGGTTTTCATCTCTTCGACGGTAAGTGCTAGGAGATGGACCTGATTCGCTGCTCATTTGCTTGCGCTTCTTGCTTAAACTACACCGTATTGTTCGTGCTTCTAAATTTTTTTACGCTTCTGCAGTGCGCCCACGACTGCTGACGGGATCAGTGAGAGAAAATAATTAATTACACAGGGTTGTCAGAAACACCACCAGGCAAGAAGCGTCAGCGTAATAAACGTTGCATTTGGCACCCTTTTAAACGAGTGGCAACGGCAAAACCAAACAGTAAACAAGTGTAGGTGTAATAACGTATGCTATTAATGCATGCTACGTTTATAACTGCGTCTTTTGAGTTTTAACCGCAGCCTACATTGCCACGAACCTTTGTAACTCCGCAGGTGCAGAACGTATTCTCAAAGCACTAGTGGCGGTGAATTGATGAAGCAATGAACTCATTTTAGTGAATCTATTCTCTGGCTACTTAAAAAAGTGTTGCGGGAACTTTTTTTAGGTCGATGATAAGTAGGAATGAATTATTCTTCGAAACAGTATCGCTGCGCTATACTCCCACTGCCACCCGAAATGCAAAGTGTTCTCCATCCAGGAACCTTAAAGGCTTCGCTGCCTCCTTTTTCGTGATGATCTGACTTTTAACGAAACGAGAAGCACTCGCGGCTGCCCATACGAGATTACCACCCTTCCCCCCCCCCTCAAAAGAAAGGAATGGGTTGATAAAAATTTCTAATAATAGTGGAGTAGGCAGCTTATGTATGCGCATCTGCAAAAGCAAGCTGTACATATTCAGTTCACAGTATTTTTTTATTATTTAGAATAAAGTTCTCAGTCGTAACCAACATCAAAACAACGAATAAAAAGGGACATTACGCTCAGAAGAACAAGCCAATTCACAATCGTTGTTCAGTCAATGTTTTTTCTTAAATTTCTCTGCGCAACACAGGTGCTAATGATTAAAAGAACGTGGCTGATCCCCAATTCTAAGAATCGGTATAACACGAAAGCAAAACGTGTCTTCAAAGAGGTAATTGAGCGTTTATTGTGCATTCTTTAAGCAACAGCAACAAATGGGCACTTAAAGCAGAAAGCACGCACGGAATTAACGTGCATAGGATGATTCATTGATTTATTTATATGTGGAGTTGAACGTACCAAAACCACCATATGATTGTAAGAGACGACGTAGTGGAGGACTCTGAGAACTTGAACCACCTGGGTTTTTTTTAACGTGCACCAAAATCTGAGCAAACGGGCCTGAAATATTTTTGTCTCCTTCGAAAATGCACCCGCCACAGCCGGAATTTAATCCCGCGACCTTTGAGTCAGTAGCAGAGTACCTTAGCTACTAGAACACCAGGCCGGGGCCATACATAGGACGAGGGCGTAATAAGAACAGTCACAGCTCGACACCTAAAGCACGCTGCTAAAAAAGAAAGACGCATGAAACGAGCGCACACGTGTACACAGGACAAGCTCAACAACTGTCAATATTCTTGCTTCATCGTGTGTCAGCAGCACTCTCCTTTTGTAAACGCTGCCGCGGCAGCGAGTTATATGACCTTCGTCTTCTCCCTAATTACGAGTCTGATAAGTCAGCGCGCAGGAGGGATCACGCTCCGTGGAGGCGGCGCTCCGTTGAGGCGACGGCCTTTAGAACGCGCCCAACGGGAGCCTGTCGCACCAACTCGCTACTGATAATGAAAACAGGCTAAAGTTTCAGGGCTGTAGGGACCACAAAACGATGTATGCTGTATACGAAAGGCTTGCCGTTAGCGTGCTCGGCGGCGTACGCCCTATATGGCATAGCGGTTGGCGCTGCGAATTGAGATACTGCCAGTTCGACGCCGCACGGCGGCATCTTTCCTTTCCGTTTTGAATGCGAAGCATTTCTTAGTGAACTTCGCCGAATTTTGGGCGTATCTATCTATCTATCTATCTATCTATCTATCTATCTATCTATCTATCTATCTATCTATCTATCTATCTATCTATCTATCTATCTATCTATCTATCTATCTATCTATCTCTATCTATCTATCTATCTATCCGCCTACGACTTTTAGCTCTCCTGGCCGTTTCGATAATGGTATTGATAACGAACTTGGTATGCCATAACATGACTGTATGAAGAATATATTTGACTAGTAATAACGTGATAATCATGAAGTATGCCATGAATTTCATGATTTACATTTCATGGTCCTGCAGCTCTTGCGGTGGTTTCGTTCACAAGGAATGTTGCAAAACTAGTATGGCATGGCATGATTGCATGGCTAACACAAGGGACAGACACTAACATGAAAATGATGACATGCCTGCCATGTAAGAACGTTACTACATTCCATGTTCATGATGCGCTCGCCGCCATTTCGCTAGTGTCACATATACCAAATTTGGTATTACGGTACGTGAATGGATGATGAAGGTATGTGACTGGTGCAAACATGATAATCATGAAATGCGTTTCATGTGAAAACTTCACTACATGCCACAGTCAAGGCGCCAATACATTTTGACATGACGCGGTGCGCGTGTTCGCCGGCGTTCATTTCGTCGAGTCACGCCGGCATTGCGTTGCTTTGACGCATGCGCGTTGCAGCGCTTCTGGCGTCCCTCCCTCACGAAAAGAGGGAGACTAACCCCCGTATTCTAGAACGCCCCTTCACTCAACGCTCCACCTTCACTTGAAAAAGTCGATTGGAGCGCCATTGGAGCGCCATCTCTAGGCAGGGCAAGTCACTGCATATCAGAGATAATTAGCCGCTATTCTTGAGAAGCGCAGCGTCATTTTTAGCCGAGCAGCGGCGCAGTGCTCAACGCTGTCAAGTGAAGGGTGAAAGTCGAGTCGAGGAGCGTTTGTGAATACGGGGGTAAGTGTTATCTGGGTAACACATAGGCGCGAAATTCAGCATCTCGCATTTCGCGCCGGTTGCCGTCGGACAGCGCCGACACACGCTGGTCGCACCTGGCGTCAAATTATAAGTGCTCACGTTTCGATAACGTAGCGTCGCTCTGCCCAGCATGTGCGTGCGTCAACGCTGCATTGGAGTATAGGCACCCGGCAATGCAGTTTACGAGATCTGACGGTAGCGCCAGAACACACAGCCTAGCGAGTAGGCGCAGCAAAACCGAGTCTTCCAATGCGTAGCCTAGCGTGTAGACGCAGCAAAGCCAGACTTACACGTGCATAGAATTTTCTTTTTTAGTTGTGAGCAGAGGGGTCACGGCTGCTTATGTAAGTGCTCAGAAAAGCGTCCTTTGAAAACGTGCCAAAAAGGGAATCGAAACTTCAGCGTGTCACTGTGTTCAGCGAGCGTTTCATTTTCTTACTATCCCTGGCGGTCGGTAGCAACAATGCTGAGGCGACCCAAAAAGCTTCGTCGCGCCCTCTGATCCACTGTTGGGTGCCTATATTGGGCCCTTTGAGATGCGCTCACGGCCGTTTCGACAGCTCCTCATATACCGAGTTTGGTGTTACGTGACGTCAGTATATGACGAAATATATCACTGGTGCAAACATGATAATCCTGACAGCGTGTCTCGCAAGAACATGACAACCTACCACGCTCATAGCGTGCGCGCGGCCGTTTCACTAGTTCCACATATACTAAATTTCTTATCACATGATGTGGAGAGATGACGAAGGTAAACGACACATTCAAACAAGATAACAATGACGCGGAAGTCATGTACGGCACAATTTACTGTCACTTCGAAACGTTGTGCTGATTTTAAAGTGACATATCCACATTTCTCACTCGTTCACCGCATGTCACCGATTCCCAATCTACGTAGGATCTGCCAATTTTTTTTCTCTTTGCAATCTGTTAGTATACATTTTAGAACCTAATATTCGTGACGGAAAATGTAATAGGAGCAGTGGTGGACCCCGCCATAAAACCCTTCCGTGTTGAAAATGCACCTTGTATACTGAACATATAAGGTTCCCTTTGCGATGTTTAGGAAAATAATGCAGTCCAGCTTTTTGATGAAAAGATCAGCTAAGAGATGGCACGTGTCCGCTCTACTTTCTATATGCAGTTTCTTAGTGAACTTCGCCGAATTTTGGGCGTTCTACTCTATTCATCTATCTATCTATCTATCTATCTATCTATCTATCTATCTATCTATCTATCTATCTATCTATCTATCTATCCTATCTATCTATCTATCTATCTATCTATCCGCCTATACTTTCAGCTCACCTGTCTGTTTCAATAAAGGTTTCGATACCAAAATTGGTATGACGTAACATGACTGTATGACGAGCATAAGTGAGTAGTCATAACACAAACATCATGACATGTATGTTATGAATGTCGTGATTTACAAGTCTTGTTCTTACTGCTCTCTGGTGGTTTTGTTCACATCACATGTTGGAAAACTGGTATGGTATAACATGACTCCTTGACGGTCGTTTCGCTAGCTTCGCACACACCAAATTTGTTATCACGGGACGTGAATGGATGACGAAGTTATACGACTGGTGCAAGCATGATGATCGCGAGATCGTGTCATGCAACAATATGACTACATGCCACGCTGAAGATGCGCCTGTGGCCGGTTTCCTAGCATCACATATACCAAATTTGGTATTATTTACCACGCACGGATAACGAAGGCAAATGGCACGTCCAAACATGAAAATCATGACATTCGTGTTATGTAAGACTTCATGTTACGATCATAGTGCACTCGCGGTAGTTTTGGTAGCTTCACATATATCAACTTTGGTATTGCGTGACGTCAATGAATGACGAAGGTATATGACTGGTGCAAACATGATAATCATGACATGCGAATGATGTAAGAGCATGACAACATACCACGCTCATGGTGTGCTCGCGCCTGTTTCGCCAGCTTAACATGAACCAAATTTGGTATTACATGACGTGAATGGACGACAAAAGTAAATGACACGTCTAAACATGATAATCATGGCTTGAGTGTCATGTAAAACATGACTACATACCTCACTTATAGCGCGCTCACGGCTGTTTCGCTAGCTTCACATATACCAAATTTGGTATCGCGTGACGTGAATAAAGAACGAAAGTAACTTACACGTGCAAATATGGTAATCACTATATGCGTGGCATGTAAAACATGATTACTCGCTACACTCATAGCATGCTCGTGGGCGTTTCGCTAGCTCCAACTGTACCAAGTTTGGTATCACGTGGCGTGAATAGACGACGAAGTTAAATGACACGTCCAGACATGATAATCATGACGTGGAAGTCATGCAGGCCATAATTTACACACCCTTCGTAACGTTGTGCCGAGTTTAAATTGACATATCAACCTTTTTATTCGTGCTTCGCATATCATAGGTTTCTACTGTACGTGGAATCTGCCGATTTTTAACCATGATGAGTCAAACTATTCTTGTATTATATTTCACGCCTCTTGAAGACTGTTCAGAATGGTTCAACTTTGTCTTTTTTTTTCGACAGTCCTTTCAACGCCCTATACGTCCGCCCACTGCATAAAAAATAATTTTGCAGTCACGATTTTCCAACACGCATTTCACTTTAACAAAACAAGTGCTCTGGCTTGTTATTGAAACACTCTGGCTGAAGAAAGAGGGAGAAGCACTTGAAGAGGATGGGCGTTGCGCCTGTACAACGCCCGTCTTGTTGATTTGCGTCTCTGTCTTCTGCTCCTATAATGGAGCGCAACAATTGTTTGAGTGAGCTTCACTGTGTTGCATCGAAACAATGGACGGATAAAAAGAAAAGTTGCAACGTTCTATTTCTATACCTTACGAGGCCCCTAGAATGAGTTTATCTAAGAAGCAGAAGCAATTAACATAAGTAATGGCATCTTTATGGTTGGTCTGCGGTAAAAAAAAGAAAAAAATATGGCCCCGTAACTGCATGTGTCCGTGCAAATGTCGTCGAAAGACGATAGTCTTGCGTCTGGAGAGTGTGAAGAAAACGTTTATTTGATATTCTGCGTGAGAAAATCGGTGAATTGTACTCTGGAGGCGCTGCGTTAAACAGTCTCGATACATGCAGTGAAGGCGAAAGAGCGCATCGAGGTACATCAGACACGAGTGCTATCTAACACTTGAAAAATGAAGTAAGGAGTGCGGTCGCCTGTCTCCGAGGCGTTAAGGTGTAGAATTCAAAGCGACCGGCAGGTGCCACCACCGTGTCGTGTTAGTAAAGCGTTGGAAACACTTGCTTTTTTGAGCATCGCTTTGCATTGTCGGCGCAGGGTGGTAAACGCTACAGTCCTTAGAATTATTTTTGTTTGCCTTCTCTAGTATAAAGATACACATACAAAATATTGTCTTGTTGTAATGATGCCTCACATATGTGCAATTATTGCTTTTTAATTGTGAATGGCGCAAGTATGAACGATGAAATTTGAGCATAATCTGTTGACGCAGCGGATGGGGTTTGCCGTTTGGGGCATGATTTAACGCCGTCTTTGGGGTTTGGTTACGGTGGACAAACAGACAAGTGTACAGACAAACAGAGAGACCAAAATTTTTGCGTTTAACTACCCCAAGGAAGGCTATCGTCTTTAAAAACGCTGGTTTCCCAGGATGCCCGACAAGAGATCGCCGTGACAACCCTGCTTATGCCGAACGGCCGTTCTCTGCCTTTGTGCATGTGGTACTACCCAGACTTCAAACCACTGCCGCAAGGTCCGGACGCTGCGGTGAGTGTTTCAGCAGTCTCTTTGTTTGCCATTGCAAATTAATATTGTCGTTAGTTATTTTCCACATTAACTCTGGCGGCTTGGTCATAAAGTAGTGTCACGTGGTAATGACGTTGACGAAGGCAGCAGTCAGCGTGTTTACCGCGAAACTTTTTATTCGGGCGGGCTTGTGGCCAGCAAGCGGAAACTAAGACTGCGGCAAGCATTGCGCAATGCACACTGATATTGATGTACAGGGCGTCGGATGTCGGTAATGTAATAAGCGGTCAAGAGCATCGACATTTATACTTTTATCATCGAAGATTCCGACGGTATGGTGAACACTAGAGTTAGTTCCAGAACTAACTCAAGCGTTCGCATTGTGCAAGTGATCTCATGGGAAGGTTCTTACATTACTTAGAATGTTTCCGGTCATTTGAGCATGCTTGACGCAAGACAGCAGTTACTATGTGATGAGGCGGTAACATTAAAATAGAAATAAAGCAGCATAAGTAGAGGACAGGGCGTGGAGCGTAACAACACCTCGAAGTGCCGTGGTATCACTTCACCCTGCATGCGCGCCACCTTGAACTGGGCTGACTCATCTTTGCATTTTATGTATATTGTTGTGTCGCAATCGCTACTGTTTAAAGAACGCGTGGATTTGCTTTTTGGTCATGACAGTCGCATTCACACACATACAAAATCCAGAAGCGCGTCGTGTACATATATTGTGTAGTTAGGTCACAACTGAGGCTGGGCAATCCAGAATCCGCCATGCTATTTGCACCGGCGTAGCTAGCCTCTGACGTCATCTCTTTAGCCTCGTATCTTTGTCAACCCAGGTAGTCGAAATTTCCGGAGCCCTCTACTACGGCGCCTCTCATAATGATATGGTGGTTTTGGGACGTTAAACCCCACACATCAATCAATCAATCAATCAATCAATCAATCAATCATTCAATCGTATCTTTCTTACACTAAACTGTGTCAGGAGGCGCTGCTTTGCATTCCTGTCGCAAGATGGCTTGAATACTTGTGCTTTCCGGATGTTAGCGTTTCGTGTCAACGTACACCCGAGCACCCAAGGCTGCTTTTCTATATTGGTGGCTACGTGTCGCAACAGAAGCTGGGCTATCCGGAATCCGCCTTGCTATTCACAACGGCTAGGTAGGGTTTGACGTCATTTGTTTATTTTCATAACTTTGTTACAAGTGAGACACAACAGGAGGCACTACACATTTCCGTCGCAAGACATATTACCCACGCTTTTTCGATGTCTGCGTCAGACCATCGCAACCCAAGCACACAAGACCACCTTGAGTTAAGCACTTTGTGGCATAACATTGGATTCCTAAAACACTTCGGTTCCTAACTCTAAAACACTCCAATAATACTTAGAGCGCAACTTTATTCCGATATATTTCTTCATCAGAGCTAGTTTTACTTGGGATCAATGTGCAACAAATGTTCATTTTTTCATTTCATTTAAAAATTTTCTACTTCCTGATTTACAATTTTTACGCACTCCGTTTTGCACCAGAAGTTTGCAGAACATGTTCCCCCTATTTTTTTCCAGGACGTTCTCAACATCATAAGTTTTAGGAGTCAGAGCAGCTGTGAAAAGCCGTATGGAATCAATTTCAAGGATAAAGTGGTTCTCATTCAGGACTCCGGGAACTGCACTCTGCGAAAAGCCATGCAAATTTACAAGGACGCTGGAGCTTACGGCATTATAATTGCGCTGGATACCAATAAGGTCGTAAGTATCATGGCACACCAAGGTACATTCGACAGGTTTGACGTACGTTACATACAACATTCATCTTTTCTCACCATACAATACTGTTTCAACTAGTTGGCATGACGTAATAATAGGGCCGCTGAAGTTTAGCGATGTGAGTGGGCACTTTCATTAGCAGTAATACTTGCAGGGTTTTACGATTATGAAACTAAGAGTGCTTGTTAGTTACATATTTGCTCAGCGCAAGAGTACGTCTAGTCACTGCGTAACTACAAAAGAAGAGACAAATGAGCGCTTTTTTCTGTCCTTGTCTCTTCTACCATAGTTATGCCGTAACTACTCGTAGTCTTGCGATGCGCAACTATGTTGATTCCAAATCACCAATTAACCCAAGCATCTGTTTCATCAAGTTACATTACTGGTTACACCATGTGAGAGCGATGTGACTTATCTTGCATAAGTGAGGAGGCGACCTTTGCATTTGCGTTTGCAAGTAGTGGAAATGTGTATGTTGACAGTGACATATGTGGCTGGCATTATTATGTTCATGCAGCACCTCTGCAGTTTCAGGTGCTTTGATGGCGTATAGGACTAGCCTTCGCGTTCGTGCCAGCAACCGCTCTACACGCTCAAAAGTGTTGGTTTTTCTATTTTGTCGAATGCGCTTCAAATGACCACCTGCCTTCTGTGAACCACCCGGACATTACCGGCTCCATTCATCCAGAAGTTTATTAAAACTAACAATTTATTGTCACTACGAGGAATAGCTACTCCAAGAACGCAAGCTTTTTTTATGCCCTACGCAGGAGGACATTATTGTCGAGAGTACGGCCTCATCAGTGACGGACCTGGTGATCATAATAGCTGGAAACAGAACGGCCGCATTTCTTGAGGTATGCAAAGAAGTCATTGTGGGAAAAAAGTTTACTCGCCGGCCCTTTCGTTGAGCTAAGCCGCCGAGGTGGCACAATGGTTGCAGTTGATGCCTTCTGGAGTCAAACCCGGAAGGCGTGGGTTTGAATCCGGCCGCGAGTATTGCATTTTAATTAAGGTAAGACACAAGAAGGAGGTTATGCAAACTGTGCAATGCCACTGCCCGTGAAATAACCCCAGGCGAACATAACTATACGCATCCCTGCACTATAGGGCGTACTAATGCGTAGGTTTTGGCAAGGTTAACCCCAGAATATGCATATTTTGTAGGCCAAAGAGATATTACTGATGGCACTGAGGACACGAAATGGGTTAGGCCACAGCATCATAGTCATATAAGTAATAACAGTAATTCTTGCGTTTCAGCGTGGCTGAAACATAGCTTGAGAAGTAGCAGTAAACTAAGCAACAAGACAAAGCCATAATTTTTGTGGTAGGATCTATATCCGAACATGTTTACTCCGACTTGACAATACCAAAATATAACAAAACTACATAGACGTTTTGCCACCTACACAGGTGGCTTTATAAGTATACACTGACGTTAAATGAGCAGATATCATCCAGTCCACTACTAGTAACCTTGTACCCGCGAACATCGAGTAGGGTAGTCGTAGGTAATGCGAGCCCACTTGTCGCGACGAACGAACCAAGATTCGACGAGTTTTCTTCTCCCCCACCTTCGTTCCGCAGCCAGCGTCGTCAAATTACTGAAGTCGAAGTGATGCCCGGTCGCCCAGTAGTGTTCGACGAGTTCTGCCCTAAAGGAAATGCGAGGCGCAGGAGACTTTAGTGACGTCACCTTTTGAAAGCAGTGGCGACTTTGAGAAAAACGCGGCAATAAAGTTTTCATTCAATAGGAAAGAACAGAGACTTAATCAACTAATAATTTATTTTATGCACAGCATGCTGCCCTGAAACACAAAACACAACAGTCCGCCACGGTGCACCAGTGGCTAAGGTGTTTTCAACTGACACAAAAGTCACTGGTTCGATCCCGGCATCAGCGGTCGCATTTTGGTCGAGGCGAAATTGTTGAAGGCCGTGTGCTGTGTGGTGTCATTGCACGTTAAAGAACAACAAATTGTCCAAATTTTGGAGCCCTCCACTATGGCACCTCTCCTAATCATATCGTGGCTTTTTAGACGTAAATCCTTAGATAATAATAATAATAATAATAATAATAATAATAATAATAATAATAATAATAATAATAATAATAATAATAATAATAATAATAATAATAATAATAATAATAATAATAATAATAATAATAATAATAATAATAATAATAATAATAATAATAATAATAATAGTAATAGTAATAATATTTATAACAATAATAATAATAATAATTTAGTAATAATGTTGATAATATTACTTTTATTACAAAACACAGCACATATGGGGTGGAGTAATGATGGCGCAGAACGTAGCCTTTGCGCAGTATTTTTGCATTGTTTGCCCCAATGAACCTGTGTGGCATAAAAAGAAAAAGGGTCCACTGTTGATTTTCATTTTCAGAAATACATGATACCGAAGCAGCCACACCCGGCGAAAGTTTTCACGAAGGATCTGGAATTCGAGCCTGGCCTGACAGTGATTTGGCTCCTGGCCGTCTTCTCTGTGGGGGTTGGTTCATACTGGTCGGGAAACGTTCGGCAGCAGGTGTGAGTAGGCTGTCTCCTTTCCTACGAGTCTACGGTGGGTTCGAAGAGAATATCTATCACACACATAGCCGTCTTCCCAAAGTCGACCCTGAAATTTGGTTCGCAAGCAAGTCGCTAGGAAGAATTGCGCTCTTTCGGTTCATTTTGTTATTTCTGTCCTTTGTTCATCCGATCAAAAGTGGAACAATTCCCATCCACAAGTGATGCAGCAACTCGTGTTCTTTAACTCGTTATCTTAGAAATGGTAGAAAATAATAAATAAGAAAGAAAAAAAAAAACCCGCACAAGGTCCTACTTATTCAGTTAAAACGACTCGAAGGGGATTGCCTTCTTCTTGTTCTTCCCAATCAATGCATTCATCGTGCCACAGAACCCTACAGATTATCTCTGCACCTAACGTGGTTTCGCATGGCTTCCAAGATCCGAGGTTACAAGTTTTGCATTGCCTCCGTGATTTAAATAAACACCTCTGGGCGAATCACGCGCTCGCTACATCACGTGATGAACCACACACGTGATCATTAATTCGCTATCACGTCATAAAATTCAGTGATCTGTGACGTCATCACGACGTCATTCACCACGTAACGTGAGACCACGTGACACGTTGTACTGCTTTTCAAGTTGGTTGGTTGCTTGGTTAGTTATTATAGGTTTACCGATTGCTAAGTTAGTTGTTAGTTTTGGCTGGTAGTTTGTCAGTTTTGCAGTTAGTTGTTTAAACCGTTAGTTAACAGTTGCTTAGCTCGTCGTTAATTTAGTTTTTTACATAAGCAGTTGGTGCGTTAGCTATTTGAACATTTGACATGCACAATAACGTCTGCTGTACGGCTAGCTGGTGCGTCGCTGGGAGAAAATTTATAGGCATAGAACGACAACGAAGAAAGAATATTATAAGTGGGTTTGTGCGTACTTCGTCATCTTTCTGCGCCTACGAATTCCATCCAAGCTGTGGCATGCACTTGTGGTAACTGCGGGCGTGTAGATCATTCTTGCATACAGAGACTGTCTGCTGTGGTACACGCGCTGCACGCAGATACGAGTGCGAGGTGCACAGCCGTCAAATGCGCCGTCGGCGGCTCTCAAGCAGCAGCGCCGCCAGCCAGGGAGCTCCCAGCCGGCCGCAAGGCATGAACGTCATCGAGGAAGATAGCTCGCTCGACATCTCCCCGATCTGGGTGCTGTCGTTTGTCGTATTCATGGCCACCATGCTCGTCGTCCTCTATTTTTTCATCAGATACCTCGGTATGTTCCGCATTTAGTATTCATTCAAATTACTCCACAATTTCACAGCACTGGGTGCACAGTATTCCAAAGAGTAAATGAATCGGTATTGAATAGCGATGCTCTGAACAAGAGAAGGAAAATGCCCACACCTCTCCGTAAGGAATCTTGTGGAAATGGAAATGCATTTGCGCCGAGAAAGAACACCGTTGCCGTCAGACATTCGCCTTCACGGACCTTTGACATCGCCTTGAGAAGGGCTCAGTCAGAGAACGGTCGAGAGTGAGGAATGAGCGGACGGAAGAGAGGGGCGCCAGCTTTCTCGGCTATGCGCTGGCGTTGTACAGCGGCGTCTTCAGCACACATTTTCGAATTTTCTTGAGAGGCGCCCAGCCAGCTAGCGGTTTGTGAGTGAGGCGCGAGGGGGCGGGACAGTGGGGCGCAGGAAGGAGAGGGAGTGAATGGCGAGAGAAGGAGCGACGAAGCACTGTACCTACCCTCCTCTACATTCTCTCACACTACAGGTTCCGGTTGCTAGGGGTGAGGATATATGCGTGCTCATGGCTGTTACAATGGGAGAGAGAGGGAGAGTGAACAGATAACACGTGCCAGAACACGGCCGCCGCCGGACACCAGAGATAGCCCGACAAACCTCGGTACTGATAAACGCTCCCTGGCTTGAACTTGACTTGAAACTGCCTTCAATTCAGCGTGTGCGAAACGCGTTTGTGCTGTTTTGAAGTAGGTGGCAAGCCAAGTTCAAGTCAAGGGGCGTTTCTGAATATGGGGGTAAGAAATGCATTCGCATTTAAAAAGAAACACTGACGCACAGGACAGGTACTATTGGGAAATAAGCCATGTGCAGCCATGAAGGACGTTGGCGTTGCATAATGAAAGGAGAAAAAAACATTGTTCAATGACGAGCGCAGAGAAGGAACGACATACAGTGCTTATTGACTGTTGTTCCACACCTTGTTCTTTTTTTATTCAGCGGCCATGGTTGCCCATTCTTTGTCCTCATCATTTAAGAGCTGTTTCTTTTTTTTTTTGGGTAACGTTATTGGACAGATTTAGTTAACCATCCGCAGCTTCCGTACGGACTCAGCCTCCCGTTGCGAACGGCTGGTTAATAGGGGCCCAACTCAATCTGTCTATCGTTAGTTTTTCCTCAATATACACATGGTCACACAAGTATGCGGAAGTGCACGGTCTATTTCAGCCAACCGCAAGTAATCATGCATGGCATATCTCAAGCATATCTGCATTTTCTCTCTTGTATTTTTAAAATGCACCACACAATAAACGCCAGGCCTGCGCGGAAGGCGCAGCACAGTCACATCGGAAGCTAGAAGAGCGGCCTCTCAGAGTCTTTTCAAAACATTCATTTGGTAACTACTGCAAGCACACTTGCTTGATACACACTAGGGCAATAATAATAAACTTTTGGGGAGGAGGCTGGAGTTGCAGTGCTAATTTCCGACATTCTATTGAGAAGCGTGGTATCCACTAAACACTTGCAAGGAACTTCGTGCCAATTGTTCATGCCGACGATGAGGAATTAAGGCTGAAGGGGGTATGCGCCACAGCTAATAGAGGAACAAGAACAAGCTTTTGTAATGGGTTGGAGCATTGGACGGCCTACTCGTTACGCTAATAACACTGTGTGACGACTGGTTGTTCTTTCGCGGTTTCAAAACGCTTTATAAGTCGTATTAACGCGATTGCTTTCCCGACATCAAGCCTGCCTAAGGCAAGTTTGCCAACAAGTCACAAGCACTACGGTAACTCTGATTTCTCGTATCGTCATCAAATGTGCAAGGAACAATACAAGGGTATTTGAAGGAAGTTGTTTCGTCTTTCCACTTTTTGTCAGAGAGATTTTCGTTGAAGTATCTGGCTGAAGTACTTCGTAAAAAAATTGTATAGGGACCTTGTCGATGTTTTACTGCCTGTAGCATTGTACCATCAGCTATATTGGCAGGCCCAGGACAGGATGTTCTGAAACGTGGTAAAAGAATGCTTGTAGCACCAGGGATGTTCTAAAACGTGGTAAATGAATGCTTGTAGCACCAGTTAAAACGTGGTTACAGGATAGGGGAATATTTGGGCCATGGAGCACACATCGCCACTCGTGTAGTAAATCGGAAACAATTGAACACGTGCTCATAGATTGCTGGAGCAGGGTCTTTTCCCGGGACATATTGCATAGAACCTTGAAAAAATAATTACCGTTAACTCCACATGGCATCCGTTTTCTTTCGGTTAAAAATGAGGCAGGTGTACCTTATGATGTAATCATGCTTCTGGGCATGCGCAGTAACTGGAAAACCCAACGTGCCTTTGAAAACGCGGATGTAGAAGCGCTATTTTTGCGCCAATATTTTTGCAAATCTGTGTGTCACTTTCTTGAAATGCTGAAGGGCCAAGAGGATGTACCAGACTAAAATGGGAGCATTGAGCAATTGTTACGAATTCCAAAGTATTGATCAATAGTCAGCTAAGAGCTGAAGGTACCTCAATGAGTTCTGTGGGTGTATTTTGTGACGCACTTGTATTTTGAACAATATATAAAAATGTAAAATGTGAACAGTCTTGATATGCAAGGCAATAAAATAAAAAAACAGCGTAGCTCAGTGGTAGAATACTGGGCTGGCACCCAGCGGACCCAGGTTCGAGCCCCCACTGTGTCCTTTGCGCTAGGTTTGCCAACAAGTCACAAGCAGTGGCTTAGCTCAGTGGTAACATACTGGGCTGGCACCCAGCAGACCCTGGTTTCGAGCCCCACTGTGTCTTGAATGCTAGGTTTTTTGGTTTCTAAATTCGCGCGATGTGGTTACGGACACCGGCGGCGGCGGTGGTGGACAACTGCGCGTGACCCGAGTTGTGATCTCATAACAGCTTTTGTTGAAAAAAAAAAATGCCACCCGCATCTTCTCACGAGGGTAATTCGAGCAAGTCTGTCGCAGAATGGTGGGGCATCACGTATAAGTTGCGTAATTCGGTATGGTTTGGAAATGCTTAATTGTTATTTCGTTTTTGTTGTTCTTACATATTGAATAAAGGAGAGGCGTTTTCTTTCACGAGTGGTGGGACGTTGATGTGCGATCCAGTGCCTACATTTACAAGGTCACTAGTGAATGGTTGTGCAGCACGAGCAGTTAGTTTTTATTAGCAGACGCTGCCTGCGTCGCCCTTGCGGGACGGGAGAGGATGGGCAGCAAACAGTGGACACGATATACAAGCATGCGGCCTGTTAAGCGAGGCGTGAGCATGCGCGGTAAGGGTGTAGACAACGCCGACGCACGAAGCGTGACATCGTGCAACTAAGAAATGCTCAGCATTTAAAGCGGTAAATGATTTAGAGTTGATTGATATGTGGGGTTTAACGTCCCAAAACCACCATATGATTATGAGAGACGCCGTAGTGGAGGGCTCCGGAAATTTAGACCACCTGGGGTTCTTTAACGTGCACCCAAATCTGAGCACACGGGCCTCAACATTTCCGCCTCCATCGGAAATGCAGCCGCCGCAGCCGGGATTCGAACCCGCGCCCTGCGGGTCAGCAGCCGAGTACCTTAGCCACTAGACCAAAAAATGATTTAGAGTACTTGATACAGTACTATGAGAGAGCTGAAAGCCGTCCCTTGGGCGAAATATTTGATGAGGCCGCATCGACTAAAATGCCACTCCAGCCGGGCCTGGGCTGGTGTTTACAAGCAGAAACGCCCGCTGTGTTTAGGAAAAGCGGTTAACAATTTAGAGAGCTGAAAGCCGTCCCAAGAAAATAAGGCTTGATCAATAGACAGCTGCTTGCGTTTAAGAACGTGGATAACGATTTCAAGCACTTCGTACTCGACTATGGGAGTGCCTGAAGCCGTCCCGTCCGAAGACTCCACTGTAACGATCCTTCCTAAGGCACTAGAAAGGATAACCAAATGTATAATATGAAAATGAACGAACTGGCCAAGCAACAAATTTTCCTAAATAAGCACAGGCCATTATCTTATGCACAAGTCCAGACGGAAGGCTCGTGTTCTTTCTCTGTACAATAGAAATAAATTCTTGGTGATTCGTCATAAAGCATGAATGCCTCATTGTGACATTATTCTTTATTACAATCTTCTGTTACCGGTTGCTCTGATCGTCGATAGCATACACTCTCTATCATGCTTAGTTACTATGATAGCGCCTCATAACACTATGCGGTTATGTGGCATGTAGTGCCACGGCCGGACTAGAAACGCGCGTTCTGTGTACGTTAGAAGTGTTGCAGCTTGGGCTAGTTGTTATGGCATGACGATAGTTATAGCGCGAGAACAAAACGACGACACAGAGACAAGAAGGTCTTGTGTCTTTCGTGTCCTCCTTGTCTCTGTGTCGTCGTTTTGTTCTCGCGCTAAAACTATCGTCGTTCTGTGTACGTTCGCGTGCCTTTCCAGTCCGGCCGTGGTTGTGAAAAGCCTGAATTTTCTTTCTGACAGTTTACTTCATTCACGGTATGTTCGTGTTGTCCGCATCCGTCGCCGTTCTCGGTGTTCTGGAGCCGCTGGCTTACAAGATGCCCTGCGGCACTGGCAGGTAGGCAGCCTCTTACACGTACAGAGAGAATCCAAATTGATAAGATTGGTGCGTGCAGATTCATTGCTTAATATGAATCGGACGCCTTGGTAATGATTTTCCTCGTCTGCAGCAAGCTACGAATAGACATTTTAGATCTCCATGTCAATAGTTCAACCTTCAAATATATAAAACTTCAACTGACTGAATGTGTGACGTAAAGTTATTCAATAACTGATTAGCTAACTTGTTTGACGTCATGCAAAACACTGAAGGGTCCGACTGTAAGAGAGGGCAGAAGGCCATAACTAACAGTTGTTTCCTTTACGAATACAACCGGATAGCAAAGCTTCCTAAGAAATGGGGCGCATACGAATATGTTTCTGATATCGCTGCTGGCATTCACTGATGGCGGTAAGTTGGGGATTGGGTAGGGAGAGCGTCTCCTGCGCTCGGTGGCGGGAATAACGACTGAACGAGCGAGTGTGCGGTGCGAGCGAGCCACCTGCCAACATGCCTGCAGTGTGCAGCACAGCGGGAGTGCACCTGTCGTTTTTTCCGGCGCGCTTGTGCGGCGATGGGAGCTTCGCTGGTGACGACGGTGACAGCGACAGCAAAGTGCGGGTGTAAGGAGCTTCGCTGCTAAAAGAAAAATGAAATAGCTCCTGATTTGACCACCCAGGTTATTTACCATAAGCTTTTCTTCGTTTTACTCAACAGCCTGTCTTCTGCTCAACGCACCCACTGTAGTTCACTGACATGTGCAGGCTTCCGGATGGCGCCGTACCCTGCTTCCACGGTTCGCTCGAGGTGCGGCAGGCACTCGTGCTTCTCGCCGCCATGGCGGTGCCCGCTTTCTGGATCTACATCAGGCACCACCCGCTCTCCTGGATTATGCAGGACTTGCTGGGCGTCTGCTTCAGCGTGTACATCCTGCGCGTGGTTCGAATGCCAAACCTTAAGGTAGATCCGAAGGACGGCGGTACGGGGAAGTTGGAAGGTTGCGATGAAAAAATCTTTACACATGGGTTGTGTGATCGAGATGACGTTTAGACATGTAGACTTCTCGAAGAAGACAAGTCCACTTACGAAATGTCTGCGCAAGCAAGCAGCATGTGTTTAGAAATTTTTAGCATCGTGGCCTTAATGTAGGTATAACGTACCCTCAGTGCGTCAGTGGAGACGGATGAGCGCGTTCAAAGACGTATATATCCCCCCCCCCCCCTTCTTTTTGCGTTCCATTGAGGAAGTTACGGTCGCTAAGTCCCTGGGTCATTTCTTCTCCTTTTTCTTGAGCCCCCCCCCCCCCCCAAAAAAAAAAAAAAAAACTTCTGTCCCCAATCAAGTCACAGATCTATAGTGAGCACCCCGACGATATAACGATTTTGCCACATGTGTTTTATACGTGTTGTCACGTGTTCTGTACGTGCGGTACCTTAGCTTTTTGACACGATGTTATTGTGTATCAGTTTGATTGGAAAAACCATGGCAGGTGCGTGCATGTAAGTTTATATTCAGCCATTCACTGACAACTTCGAAGTTACTTAACGAGTGTCATGTGAAGGCAAAGCTTTCTTCATTGCTAATTTCATAGTTTGAAGCACATGCATAATGTTATACTATTCATTATTGAGATCCCAACGCCGGCAAACCTGTTTCTATGTGATATGCAGCCAAGTTCTTGATGCTTCAATTGAGGAGGCTCGCTGAAGGTTTCACATACTGTGTTTCGTGAATCATGGGTCGCAGATAGCGTTATTGAGTGCGTATTTTATTTTTCAGATATGCACGATGCTTTTGTCGATTCTGTTTTTCTACGATATATTCTTCGTATTTCTTACACCGCATTTCATTCCGGTGAGTCGGGCAGTTTATATTTTTTGCGTGATTTCATATTTCACGAATATTGTAAAGAATACTATAATTGCCTGTACACGTGTCGTCCAATCACCGTAAAACGCAGAGAATTACTTCTACGGGCGTTCACAAGCTGATGCCGAGACTTAAAGACCGTCACGAGGGTTCTTGTATTTTACTCCTACAGAAGTACGTTTATATACTGTGACGCATTATACCAATGTCGCAGCTTCAGTCCCTGAATGTTGAAAGTTATTACATTTTACCTGCACGACTACGGACTGTGCACCCAGACTAAGCATAACTTAAAAATAATATCAGACGAATGATTTATTTATTGTGTTAAACAAACATGTTATTCTGTTTCCTGGGCCATTTTTATTGTTGTGTTTTGGTATGTAAGCAAATGTACAATTTAAAATATTGCCGTTTTCCGCTCCTGCCAAGCAGTGCGCTGAAACCCTATTTTTGGATCGGCAGGCGTGATATGTGTACCACTTTCTTTAGAAACTGCACATAATAATAATAATAATAATAATAATAATAATAATAATAATAATAATAATAATAATAATAATAATAATAATAATAATAATAATAATAATAATAATAATAATAATAATAATAATAATAATAATAATAATAATAATAATAATTGTTATTTTTAATATTCACATTGGCATAAAGTCAGTACAAATACAGTTTTTGGCATTATGTTCTGTTAGTCCAAACAATTAACCTACCTTCGACATTTACAGCCAGCAATGATGCACAACACAACGACGAGCTTCGTAAACGCCACTGGGGTAAGCGTTTTTCTGTTGTTAGGTATACGTAAGTTATTTGTACGCAGCGCGTTCTCCCGTCACCTGGAGAATGTGCTACGTACATAAGTTTCTTGTACCTGACACTGTCACCAGGTGGGACAGTTAGAGTGCTCCAGCAAGTCTGTCAAAGACGCCATTGTTTTATTTGGGCGTTCTTGTGCTCGGCAAACGAAAAGTTGGAGTACAAGCAACGCCGACTAAATTTCAAGGCCGAAAGGCTGCCGCAGTGACGTCAGAAGTTGGGGGCCCAGTTGCCCAACTGAGCATGCTCAGTAAGACTTTTATTTCCACATCTTTTATTCGGCCCAATCAAGCCGCAGCAGCTGCGAGAGTGAGAGCGTTGGTTCTCCTAAAACGTAAACGAAACACAGGCTTTCCGCCGCGTTCGCGGCGTAACTGGGCCCCCACCCTCTGACGTCACTGCGGCAGCCTTTCGGCCTTGAAATTTAGTCGGCGTTGGAACAAGCAATGCCTCCTGTACACTGATAGCAGCGAGAAATGTCGTCGGCTGTCGGATGTTCTGAACAGTCGTCAAATGGATCGGCGTCTCATATTTGTGAGATCGAAGTTTCATGCGTCATCGTTAATGGCGAGGTTTGTTCCCGAATAAACTATAGTGTTGGCGTTGCGTGCTAAAGCTTGTCGGAAGATGCTATAAAAACGGGCTCCCATACATACGGGCGTAATTTGCGGAAGGCAGTGTAAGGTGCCGGTTACATAAAAAGAAGGACACGAAATGAAGCACTTGTGAAAATTTGTATCACCCTTGTGACACGCTCTCGTCAACCGATGGTGTGATAGGAGAGGGTATGCGATCGTAAGCCTAGCTAGCGTGAACACCAACAACGTCCAGCATAAGCGTCTCCTGCGTAGCACTCACGATACGGCTGAGCTCTTCACGGTGCGCTTCTTTATGACACCTTATCGAGATCACTTCGTGTTACACTCAATATATGAGCCTCACGTGACGACATAGTTCACTTTACTCACGGTGGTAATTGGTAATTTAATGGGGACTCCAAAGAGGAAAACGATTTTTTTTCGTTAGCAGATCACCCATTAACAATTTCAAGATCACTGCGCTCGCCTAAACAGGACGTTTGGTAATCGACAAAACACGGAAAAAAAGTTCAGGTTGGCAACCCCTTGAAATTATTGCACCAAAGGCCGTGATGCCTTAAATATTTACGGTATTTACCAAGGCCTACGGAGCTCTTAACAAATAGATATGAAGTACAATCTGTTCTGATGTAGCCCGAGCCTTAACACACAAAATTTAGAGAAATTTCGTCGATTTCCTGTGGGCGAAATGCCACAAATTCACTTTGAATTTCAAGACTTAACGAGCAGAAATTTCGAAGCGAAATTCAAGAGCAGTAGTTTGATCTTGATTTCCTCTTCTTATATTGAACTTATAGTTCTGAGACTAACGACAAGAGCGTTTTAAAGTACACTATCAATCTAAACCAATTCATTGTCTTTAGCAGCTATTGTTACGCTGATAGGCCCGACAATATGGTGATTCTTTCAATGAATGATGGTAGAGGTGAAGGTAAAACTTCATTTAGCTAACAGAACAGCTGCAAGGGAAACCAGCCTGGAACGCAAAAACTACCTTGTACTAGAAGATTGAGGCACACGCTGAGAAACCTCGAGCGGCCAGATCTAATTCAGATTACCACAGACGTATTACGACTACGATCATCGCATCTAGGCTGTGACGCAGGCCATGGTCCAACTTCTTAATTTAAACCTTGTTAACTCTTTCATTGATTGTAGCTGAGAATGGGTTGCATGCACCCGCCATGATAGCTAGCTCGCTTTACGCTGCTAAACTAAAAGACGTGGGTTCGATTCTCGGTCAGGGCTGCCTCATTTCGATGGGAGCCAAGTGCAAAGCTTATGTGAACCCTAAAGCATCCCGAGTAGTTTAAATAGATGCGGAGTCCCTTCTTAAGGCGTATGTCCTTATCACATCGTGGTTGTGGCGCGTTAAACTTGAACAATGATTATTAATAATATTAAACGCGAAGCATTTCCTAACGAACTTCGGCGACTTTGAGCGTTTCTATCTATCTATCTATCTATCTATCTATCTATCTATCTATCTATCTATCTATCTATCTATCTATCTATCTATCTATCTATCTATCTATCTATCTATCTATCTATCTATCTATCTATCTATCTATCTATCTATCTATCTATCTATCTATCTATCTATCTATCTATCTATCTATCTATCTATCTATCTATCTATCTATCTATCTATCTATCTATCTATCTAGCCGCTTACGTTAGGGTGCTCTGGTTCTCACCCCCTTAACTTGACGTGATTAGCATGGGAGAGTGAGATGATTTGACGAGTATGACGCGCTGGTCAAAACATAGATAATGTCACAATCCTGTCGCGTACATCGTGAAACACTTCCTGCCAGACAGTGGCACATACCCACGTGCGGGTATGTGCCGCTGGTATGGAGCTATGTGCCACAGGTGATTGACACTTAGTATCTATCCATGAACGACGAGAACTCACAGGGACAAGAAATACGCGACATAGGTAGCGTCGACCCGAAGAATGTGAGGAATACATGTCAGGGTCTCAGCTGGAATTGAACCCAAGCATTCTACGTGGCAATGTAGAATTTTACCACACAGCTACGCCAAGTATCAGAACTACTTTTCAAATAGACGCTAATCTGCGTGAAACGTCAATAGTGCATGCTGCTGCCTATCCAATTTTATAAACATTACATATGTAGTCCTTTGATACAGACAGTAGGCCGGGCTAACGTCCTTTGTGGTTAGATTGCCATGCGCTGAAGCTGATTTATGTAGCAGTGCCTAGGGTCAGCATCCTCGCGAGCATCAGCGCTTCATATCATTTTATGGTGTTGCTTATAGGCATGTTACAGTTGGGATCGGTGCGCGAGTGCAAACAACTGGTTATATAAGTATCTGAAACTCTTCAACATATCTCTGTGCGTGTAGCATTAGTGCATATATTTAGCGTCATTTCATGACGTGTCGCTCAGTAAAAAAATTGCAGCACTGGTCACCTTCCCTCCGCATGCTTCGAATAACGTTGATTCTCAGGTACGTGGGATCTGCCGAATTTTATGCTTTAAATCTACGTTATTAGGACAATGTGTTACTGAACCCGTGGAGACAGCGTATAGGCGATTGCCTCCTGCTGACACTGATCGGCAAACTCACTCGCGAGTCATTCAGACTTACTAGAACTGGTATGAAGTGGTGAATCTGGTTGAGGAAACGTTTGGTGGGTCTAAGTACGAGTGAGCTGTAAGCACAAATTACATTTCTTGAGTGAGTACCAGTGAGCTCCACGTTATAGGTGCCGATATACGGTGATAACTACTCCATTTCAGCATTACTATCAGCCTTGCGCCCGCTCACGATTGTACACACGTCTTCTCGAACATGTTTCGATGTAGTAGCGTTTATAGGCCAGGCAAATATTCATTGAACAGGGTTGCAAGTTACGGGGGGTGAGCGAGAGTGTGCTTTGATGTCCCACTCGCAGAACTTCTTGTTAAATTCTCGGTAAAAACAAATCTCCTGAGTAATCTCCCCCCCAAAATACACTCTTACCAAATTGGAACCATTTTTAGACATACGAGAACGAAAAAGTGTCAAGTAGAGCCCTGAATATGCGAGGCAGTACTGTTGACGAGCATCGAAGCCATGGTCAGAAAACGATAGTCTTACGTTCACGGACTCATGAGTCGATTCGCCCAGACTAAGAGTGGACCGTGATTCTGAGTCTAAGTGAGTCTGATTGAGAACAATTTCAATGATTGTGAGTTCAAGTAAAGTTCATGAGGAAAGTTTTGGTGAGTCAGAGTCCGAGTGGGTCTTACCGGTTAAAAATATTTTATGAGAGCCCCAGTGAGCTCCGCAATTTGAGCTGACCTTTACGTGCTGACGAGCACTGGATTCGATTCCCATTTGACATAACATTTCTGCGGGGTGCAATAACTTCTGGACCCCATATCAAGAATGTCAAGTAAGAGGAAAGTCAAGAGGACCAAGAAGATTTGAAGGGATGAGAAGTCGTCCTTCGCCAAGTCCTTGCCTCCGCTTGGTGAATAGTGCGCGAACAATTCAGTAAACGGCGCGGCTACCGCTAAACGGTGCATGGGATATAGATAGCATGACGATGTTCTTTTGTACTGGCCGTGACTATGCGTTCAAGTTTTCTTGCATGTTCTTCTAATTGAGATGCAATCAATTGTCTCATTTGATAGCGATACGAGTAATTAGGCTCTCATGTGAACGGTAGCAAACCTACTCCTCCTAGAGTTTCGTACTCTACACTTGTCTGGCCTCCCTTAAATGTTTGTATAAACGTTTCAACATATACATATCTTCAAAAGTCTGCCCTTGAACATAGTAATAGAAATGGTAATTAAAGCCTAACTTTTTTTTTCTTTTAGCACAACGTACTTTATTATTATCATCGAAGCAGCTACCTATATTTTGAGGATGTCCAGGCTGTTTAAGCCTGTTTTAGTTTTCGTTTTTTTTGTCATTGTTAGATAAATTTGTTGTAAACTTTGGGATTACCAACGTTAATTTCCACAAGAAGGTTCTTGCTTTAGCCGGCTCATTCATTTGTGCACGCTTATTTTTCATTTCAAGTAAGCTTGAAAGTCCCTTAGTACAGCTTATCCCTTCGCTTTTAGACATGCTCTTTATTGCGATAAATATAACGTATGAATTATTTGCCCGCAGAAAGGCGACAGCATTATGGTTGAAGTGGCCCGTGGTGGTGGCTCCAAGGAGCAGATACCGATGTTGATGCGAGTGCCGCGGTACGGAAACCAGGATATATCTCCATGCCTGAACCCGTACTCGCTTCTCGGTTTCGGCGATATACTCGTACCAGGTAAGCAACGGCTCTCTGCCAATAGAGGAAAGTTGTCTAATAGAATACGCTAACTTAGCTGGCGTTGTGGGCGTAGCGTTTGCATATGGGCGCCATATGAGTTCTCGAATAGCGTTTGTCCCCCAGAGACACTTAGCATGGTGAGGAAGAGCAAATGGGCTATGCGGGCCGCATTTAAAATTTTCTGCGGGCGAACCGCAAACGCTCATGGTCATTAGCGGTATTAGGCACGCGCAGTGGCAGCGACTACAATTAAAAGCGTAGGTAACGCTTTACGTACGCCATTCGGAAACTCCCCCATGACCACAAGCAGTCACTGTATGAATGGTTCCTTCGAGAGTATATAGTCCTATGACCGTTCGAAAAGCCCTCATTTGAGTGACCTGCCTAATTCTGCTCTCTAAAGAGACAAGAACAAAGCCTTAGTGGGTCACAGAACAAATCAGGGTTAAAAACTTCTTAGTCAAAATCCACATGAACAAATGGCCATGGACATGTGCATAAAGGCAAAACAACCTCCTTGGTCATAATAAAAAACAGTTTTTCTAAACTGGTCATAACCGACTCTATTCCGAAACAAAGCAAGCATTGGCAGTGAGATAGGTGGGCGTAAATTTATGGGTATAACGTACATGGCTGAAGCAAGCACAGGATGAGCTTGACAGGACTTAGTCTTGCAGTGGGCATAGTTAGACCTATTGTGATAATGATGATGATGATGGTTGAAGGCGGACAACTGAAAAAGCGATTGGCAGATGGAGTGTTCGAGCAGCCTATAATAAATAAAAATAATTTCATGTTGTATTGGCGAAGTGTATGGAACATAGAGGCTACAAGGAGGTGCGGGTAAGCAGCACTTTTTGTTTAAACAAAGCCAGTATATAGCTAGGCGATCTTGGTAACGCTTGGGCGCGCACACAGTGGACAGGCAAACAAAAGGTGAAAAGGAAACAAACCAACTTGCCCAACTTTCCATCCTCTTGCACTGACAAGGGTTCATTGTAGGTTTATACTAAGCATTAAAGGAGATAGTCGGCGCATGTTCCTTTGCCGCAGTACTCGTACAGCAGTTGCGTATGTTGTGTAACAGGAAGTCTTGCACGTGTGTAAATAAATAAATACGAATGACAAGTGTTAGAGTGCAACATTACTCAAAATAGCCGAAATTGTGTGCCATTGGAATAACGAATTAGACACTCCTGTTAAGCTCTATTTACGTGGACGTAAGCACTTGTAGGGCTTGCATTGTGTGCGGCAAGATCGCACGAAATTTTGGTACGCCGCGCGAATTTGGTCTGAGCGAGAGTTTCGAGGCTAGAAAGTTGAGTCGCAATCATTTATGTCTTGTCCACGGCGCTTTAAAGTACCAAGAAAACATGTGTCAACGTGGTACAATGAAAGCGTGCCGAAATGTAATGCTGTGCGTGCCCATTTACGCAGGACTGCTGGTCGCATTTCTGCGTGGCTTTGACCTCATCTCTGTTGGTGGCTGTCTGTACTTCCCGGTGGCCCTAATATGTAAGCATCTTCTAAAGCTTTGTGTCTCGCTCAATTATTATATTGTTTCTGAATGTACAGCAAATAGAGGGAGGGAAAAAATTGGCGGATCCGATGTACAGTAGGAATCAATGATATGCGAAGCACAAATGAGAAAGGTTGATATGTCACTTTAAAATCAACCCAACATTACGACACGGTTATTAATTATGCCATACATGACTTCCATGCCATTATTATCATGTTTCTACAAGTAATTTTCTTTCGTCGTCTATTCGCGTCACGTGATACCAAATTTGGTATATGTGGAGCTAGTGACAGGGCCGCGAGCAGGCTATGAGCGTAGCATGCGGCCATATTTTAATGACACGCGTATGATGATTATTATATATACCTTCGTCATCCAATGACATTACGTAACGCCAAACTTTGTATATGTGAAACGAGCGAAATGACTGCATGAGCGTAGCATGTACTCATGTTTTACATGAAACGCATGTCATGATTATCAAGCTTGGACGTGTCAGTATATGTAAAAATAGAAAAACAGCCTCGAGCGCATTATGAGCGTGGCATGTAGTCATGTTCTTACATCTCACTCATCTTATGATTATCATGTTAGCAGCAGTCATACACCTTGCTCGTCCATTCACGTCACGTAATATGGAATTCCGTTTATGTGAAGCTAGCGAAACAATTGTGAGGGCACCATGAGCGTGTCATGTAGTCATAACTTACATGACATGCATGTCATAATTTTCACGCTAGGGTTTGTCACTTATGTTCGCCATGCCATCATGTCATATATTAGCAGTTTTGCAATATTGCCGCGAACCATGCATTGGGTTTGTTTATTTGTGTTTTGTTTTTTCGGCCTGGCTGCGCCGGCTTGTGCTATCGCCGTGTTCACAGCGTTTCGAACAAACGCTACCACAGCGTTTCGAACAAACGCTATCGAACAACGCTTCAGGCGTTGTTCGATAGAAACAACGATTCAAGCGTTGTTTGTTAGAAACGCTGTTCGAACGAACAGCGTTTCTAACAAACGCTATCACGGCCTTTCCCGATACAATTCGACTATTCGAGAAACCCTCGCGCCGAGGGATATAAATTCCCGCACAGCCGATGCCGCGTCATTCGATCGCCGACGCTCACTAGCGTGCCCGTCGTTTTGCTGGCCGCTGCTTCGCCGCCTGTGTATTTTTTTCAGTTGTTAGGGGAGCAGAGGTTCGCTCCAATAAATTTGTTTTCCTCATAGACAACTGCGTCGTCCTTTGCTGCGTGACATCTGGTGGAGGTGCGGGGTACATGAACCCTAAGCAATTGCCAAGCCGACAAGCACGCCCAACTCGTGTCAGCCGCCGACAGCAAGGCCTTCAGCCAGAGTTTGGACTACTCCGGGATTAAAAAAGGAAAGAAGACGTGAAAATCACGATGATCAACGCAGGCACCATGACCAGCGCTACCAACCCTCCCGTCGTTCTGCAACAACCTCGTGAGCCCCCATCATTCCGAGGATCTCCTGGTGAAGACCCGGAAGAGTGGCTGGAGAAGCTGGAGCGCATCCGCATCTTTAACAGGTGGGATGACGAAGAAACTTTTCGTCATGTCTTCTTCTATTTGGAGGATGCAGCTCGAACGTGGTTTGAGAACCATGAAGGCTCCCTAACCGACTGGACTGTCTTTAAGAGCGAATTTCTCAAAACATTCCCTACGGTTGTGCGGAAAGAACGAGCCGCCCTTTTGTTGGAGACGCGAATGCAACACCCTAACGATGGTGTTGTACTGTTCGCTGAGGAGATGAAGATGCTGTTCCGGAGAGCTGACCCCGAAATGGCAGAAGAGAAGAAGGTGCGCTTTCTGATGCGGGGAGTTAAACAAGAGTTCTTCGCTGGACTCATCCGCAACCCCCCTAAGACCGTCGCTGAGTTCGTCACCGAGGCTTCGATGATCGAGAGGACCTTGGATATGCGTTCGTGGTAATACGATAGACCACTCAACACCCTTTCGGTGAACCCGGTAAACGCCCCTGGATTGCCGACAGAAGACTTGCGGGAGACCATCCGCGCCGTCGTTCACGAGGAACTGAGGAAATTGTTCCCAGCAACGCCGCAGCCCCAAGTCGCCTCCCTCACTGACGTCGTCCGCGAGGAGGTTCAGCAAGCACTGGGGAATTCCACGCCGTCGGACGCATCTTGCGAACCACAAGCGATGACCTACTCCGCTGCTGCTCGTCGACCCCGACCCGTCCCAACCAGTTATCAAGAGGCCCCGCCGTACCGCCGCCCAATGTCGCCCGCCCGACCCCCTGTAACCCGAAACCAGGCGCCCAAGAAGACCGAGGTGTGGCGAACGCCAGATAATCGTCCGCTGTGCTACCACTGCGGAGAGGCTGACCACGTCTACCGCCGCTGCCCGTACAAGAGGCTGGGTTTGCGTGGGTTCTCCGTCGACGCGCCCCACCCGCGAGCCGCCCAGCACCCATTTGAGATCGAAGAATACTTGTCGAACACCAGCCGTGGACCATCCCGTTTCAACCGTCTGCCGTCGCTCTACCCGTACCAATCCCCCAACTGTCGTAGCCATGCTGACTTCGCCCGTGGAAGGTCCCCCAGCCCACGAGGAGGAAACTAAAAGCAGCAACTTCTGGAGGTGAAGTTGCACAACGGCGAGAAAATGAAAACCCTTCAACGACGCAAGACCGTGATTCACGACATGCCCTCATCCCGACGACCCGACGACACCCTGACGAGACCCCCGAAAACGATGACAGCTACGCTGCGCGACGCGTACCCGAAATGACGAAGCCTGCCGCTGAGAAGACGACGATGACGACGCATAGTGCCCGACCATCAACACGTGCAAGCTGCGATACGACGCCCCGACGCATCCGAAATTCGAGGAAAGCGGCATCCGACGTCCAGTTGTCCATCGACGGCCTTGACGTAGTCGCCCTCATCGACACGGGAGCCGACTATTCGGTCATGAGCGGGCCATTCGCGTCCAAGCTAATGAAAGTTATGACTAGATGGGACGGTCTGCACATACGCACAGCAGGAGGCCACCTCGTGACCCCAAGTGGAATGTGCACATCGCGCGTCACCATAGACGGCACTACCTACCCTTCGGAGTTCGTCATTTTGCCTAACTGCTCCCGCGACGTAATTCTCGGAATGGACTTTTTGACAGACAATGGCGCAATAATTGATCTGCAGACCAGGTCGATAACGTTTTCTTCCGATCACTCACGACGCCGCAGCCGAACCTCGGACACCGTGCTGCTGTAAGGATCGCCGACGATCACGTCACCCTGCCACCCCGCGCAAGCTTGATGATCGCCGTCTATTGTGAAGGTGCTGCTCTTGACGTCGATGCTATCGTGGAGACTGACCAAAGGTTGCTTCTAGACCGCGGTGTGTCTGTCGCAAGAGGCATTGCGCGGTTTAAGCAACGCAGATCCCACGTTTTGGTCACCAAATTCACCGAGGAGTACCAGCATCTAAACAAGGGCGCTGCAATCGCGTTCCTCGAAGAAACACAAGAAGCGAGTCAAGTGATTGCGGTCGCCACCTTTGAACGCGCACGCGCAGATGCTTCCAGGCTGCCACATCCTTTTGACCTGAACCCGGCGCTGTCGCAAGAAAATCGGGACAGATTACTGGAGTTGCTCCGTCGCTACAGCGAGTGTTTTTCTTCGAACTCGAAGTTACGTCAGACACCTTTGGCGAAGCACCGGATAATAACCGAAGATGGAGCCCGACCAACCAGACAGTCACCGTACCGCGTTTCTTCACACGAGCGCGAAGCCATCCGGACTCAAGTTGATGACATGCTCAGCGACGACATAATACAGCCATCAAAAAGTCCGTGGGCTGCGCCGGTTGTACTCGTGAAGAAAAAAGATGGCACTTTAAGATTCTGCGTTGACTACCGGAGACTAAACAAAATCACCAAAAAGGACGTGTACCCCCTGCCACGAATCGACGACGCCCTCGACCACCTCTGCCACGCCAAGTACTTCTCATCCATGGATCTGAAGACCGGCTACTGGCAAATTGAAGTGGACGAGAGAGACCGAGAAAAGACTGCATTTATAACCCCGGACGGTCTATACGAGTTCAATGTGATGCCGTTTGGGCTGTGCACGGCGCCCGCAACGTTTCAGAGAGTCATGGACACTGTGCTAGCAGGCTTGAAGTGGCACACTTGCCTCGTATACCTCGACGACGTTGTCGTATTCGCCCGGACTTTCGATGAACACCTCACAAGGTTGGAATCTGTACTCGAGGCCATTCGTACGTCGGGGTTAACGCTGAAGCCTGAGAAGTGCCGTTTCGCGTACGAGGAACTCAAGTTCTTGGGTCACGTCGTGAACGCCGCGAGAGTCCTACCTGACCCAGCAAAAACATCAGCCATTGCGAACTTCCCAAGGCCGAAAGATAAGAAGGGTGTGCGAAGGTTTCTCGGACTGTGTGCATACTACCGGCGCTTCGCCGCAAACTTCGCACGCATTGCAAAGCCACTCACGCGCCTGACGAAAGAAAGCACCCCTTTCAGCTGGGAAAACGACCAAGAAAAGGCATTCTGCGAGCTGCAACAACGCCTGCAAAACCCGCCCGTGCTCGCTCATTTCGACGAAAACGCCGAAACGAAAATGCACACGGACGCCAGTGATATCGGTTTGGGTGCCGTCCTCGTCCAAAAGCAAAGCGGTTACGAAAAGGTAATCGCCCATGCAAGCCGTGGTCTGTCGAAGGAGGAGAGAAACTACTCGGCCTCCGAGAAAGATTGCCTGGATATCATATGGGACATTTCAAAATTTCGCCCATACGTCTAAGGTAGACCATTTAAGGTTGTGACAGATCATCATGCGCTGTGTTGGCTCGCCAATTTGAAGGACCCCTCTGGCCATCTTGGGCGATGGAGCTTGCGCCTGCAAGAGTTTGACGTTACAATATTCTACAAATCCGGCAGGAAACACTCCGACGCCGACTGCCTGTCCCGCGTCCCCGTCGACCCACCACCACAGGACTCCGATGAAGACAGCGCGTTCTTCAGAGTCGTGACAGAGAGCGACCTAGCCGCTCAGCAGCGTGCCGACCCTGACCTCCGCGCCATGATCGACTACCTCAAAGGACGCAACGTCGCCGTGCCTAGGGCGTTCAAGCGCAACTTACCAGCAAGCCTCAAAAACTCCCTCTTAGAGAAGAAGAATTTCAACCCCGGTACGAGAACGAATTATCTACTTGTCATCCCCGCAGACCTTCGTGACGAAATTTCGGAAGCGTGCCACGACGACCCGTCTTCCGGACATCTCGGAACAGCTCGCACGATTACAAAAATCAAGGCGAAATACTTCTGGCCCCACCTTACATCCGATGTCACCCACTACGTCCGGAGCTGCCGTGACTGCCAGCCACGAAAAACACCACCGACGAGACCAGCCGGACTTCTGCAGCCGATCGCCGTCCCAACGAGGCCCTTCCAACAGATCGGAATGGACCTTCTGGGCCCGTTCCCTACATCTCGATCCACGAACAAATGGATTGTCGTTGCGACAGACTACATGACACGCTACGCAGAGACCACCGCTCTTCCTAGGGGAACTGCGCAAGAAGTTGCAAAGTTCTTTATTAACCAAATTGTGCTGCGACATGGAGCCCCTGAGGTCCTAATCACTCACCGCGGAACGACCTTCACTGCGGAGCTCATGCAAGGAATCTTACGCTACAGCAACACAGATCACCGAAGAACGATGGCGTACCACCCCCAAACGAACGGACTAACGGAATGGCTCAATAAGACAATCGCGGATATGCTGTCTATGTACGTCGACGTTGAACATAAGACGTGGGACGAAGTCCTCCCGTACATCACGTTTGCGTACAACACGGCTATTCAAGAAACCACGCAGATGACACCGTTCGAGCTCGTCTACGGAAGACGGTCGACTACGATGCTCGACGCCATGCTTCCGCACGTAGAAGACGACGACCTCAACGCCGACGTCCAAGGATACCTCCAACGTGCGGAGGAGGCCCGCCAGCTCGCTCGAGCTCGTATAACGGACCAGCAACTGGTGGATGCCGGACGCTACAATCTCCGACGCCGAGACGCCGAGTACCATCCTAGACATCGTGTGTGGGTTTGGACTCTCATTCGACGACGTGGACTGAGTGAGAAACTTCTACGACGCTATTTCGAACCCTACCAGATTCCACGACGTGTTGGCGAACTAACGTACGAAGTGATCCCCGATGGGGACTCCCGTACATCACGACGACGCACGCGGCTCGAAGTCGTCCATGTGGTTCGCTTAAAACCTTTCTACGGACGATAGAACTTTTAATTTGTGTGGACTGTCCCTTATGTTAGCATCGGGTCGATGCACTCTTAGAGGGGGGGGGGGGGGTAATGCCGCGAACCATGCATTGGGTTTGTTTATTTGTGTTTTGTTTTTTCGGCCTGGCTACGCCGGCCAGTGCTATCACCGTTTTCACAGCGTTTCGAACAAACGCTACCACAGCGTTTCGAACAAACGCTATCGAACAACGCTTCAAGCGTTGTTTGTTATCGAACGAACAGCGTTTCTAACAAACGTTATCACGGCTTTCCCGATACAATTCGACTATTCGAGAAACCCTCGCGCCGAGGGATATAAATTCCCGCACAGCCGACACCGCGTCATTCGATCGCTGACGCTCACTAGCGTGCCCGTCGTTTTGCTGGCCGCTGCTTCGCCGCCTGTGTATTTTTTTCAGTTGTTAGGGGAACACAGGTTCGCTCCAATAAATTTGTTTTCCTTATAGACAACTGCGTCGTCTTTTGCTGCGTGACAATATGGCATGTGAGCGAAACCAACGCAAGAGGAGCAAGGCCATGAAAAGCAAATCATGAAAATTACGACAAAGATGTCATGACTTTCATGTTATGACTAGTCACTAATGCTCGTCATACAGTCATGTGTTGCCATGCCATTTTAGGTGTCGATACCATTATCAAAACCGTCAGGAGAGCTAAAAGTCATGGGTGGCCAGATAGATAAGTGATAGATAGATAGATAGATAGATAGATAGATAGATAGATAGATAGATAGTTGCACTCAAAGTCGGCAAAGTTCGCGAAGAAGTACTTAGCATTTTATAGGAAACGTCTAATTAGCATATAGGTATAAATTAAAGGTAACCATGTGGTCATTTAAATGAGGTTTATTTTTTGCTCTTCAGAAAATCAGAAAATTGCAGTAAATGTCTTGTCAGGGGTTCTTAATAGAAAGACAGTGTCGTTGAACGTATCCAATTGTGCCCTGTCAGTACAGTGCCACAACACGTGCAATGCTTTAAAAAATAGTCTTTAGTGCTGTTTGTTTCCCGTTCCAAGATGATTCACTTAAACCGTGTATATAACAGCCACGATTTTTCAGCCTGGCTTTACGTTCTGAGAGCTCATTCAGATGTAACATTTTAATGAATATCACATTTGTAAGATATATCAGGCTGGAAGCAGTCGTGATACATTCGCGAACGATCGGTCCTTTTTTGGCTGAAGATACGTGACGTGACATTGCCGCAAATATATATATATATATATATATATATATATATATATATATATATATATATATATATATATATATATATATATATAGTCCAGTAGATCCTCCGTGGTGAGCAGTCACAACGTGGTTTATTTCGACGTTTGGCCTAGAGTCTGGCCTTCATATGTATGTATGTATATATATATATATATATGTGTGTGTGGTGTGTGTGTGTGTGTGTGTGTGTGTGTGTGTGTGTGTGCGTGTGTGTGTTATGGTGTCTGGTTCCCCACCAACACTTAGCGGCAATGTTGTTTTGCTTTTTTTTCACGTTTCGCAGGCTATGGTTTAGGCCTTATGATGACGTTCGTCGGCCTCTACCTGATGCGCACGGCCCAGCCCGCACTTTTGTACCTTGTACCGTTCACAGTAATACCTACGCTGGTGATTGCACAGTGCAGAGGCGAGCTCCACGACTTATGGAACGGAAAGATGGCAAGTGTTTCAAGTTGTTTGTGTGCGTCTCGTTTCCGTATGGTGATGTGTTAACCTTGAACAATAGAAATGGCTAAAAGAGCACTGACAGAGCCTAGTCCGCCTTTTCGTCCCTTTCTTTAGTTCCGTGTCAGTGTAGCACTACTTCATGACTACGACTTCCTCGCCCGACAGACTGTTCTTGAATACAATATACGAAAAAGAAAATTATAAGCTGGACCAAAGCCGAAAGATCGGAAGTGGAAGTTAGGGATAGCATTGGCGCTCATGGTTTTTGGACGACGCTACATACCGAAGCGTCCTGTTAGTCTCACACAAAAGGCTAGCATTACTAGTGACAGTGACTGTGGCTACGCAGTCGATTCATTTGGTAAGTATTCGGTGTTGCGACATGATTATTCAATGAGCACTGAGCGTTCCTTAGGCTTTACCAACACTGTAAACCAATGTGTACTACTATAGTGGTTTCAAGCAAGCAAAGCTGTCTTTTGAGTAACAATAATTGAAAAGTTGGGGTGTGAAGAAGTTTTTTTCTCCACAAATAGCTTTTAAAGATTGATGTTTTATGACAATATTGTGTGGGGTTTTATATACCAAAACTAGATTATGATAATGAGAGATGTCGTAGTGGGGGGCTCGGGAAATTTCGACCATGTGGCATTAATTACCGTGCCCTGAGATCCCAATGTACATGGTCTTCTGCCATTGCGCCTCCATATAAGTGCGACCGCCCCGGCCAGAATCGAACGCGTGACCTATGGATCAGCAGCGAAACACCCTATCCCCTGATCTGCCGAGGCGGACTTGATGTTTCAACAAAATCCCTCTTTAGAAGGCAAGGGCGTTATGCGTTATCCAAACACCCGGGGTCTATATGGCGGCGTGCCAGGAAACAACCAAGAATTGCCGATTACAGAATTGCGGAATATTGGGCGAGTTTAGAATAAAAGATTTGTGTATTTATACGCCAGTTCTTTATATGTAATGCCAATTTACATGAAACGAAAATATGCCCACTGTCAATGATTAGCGGGTTAAGGTACTTACCTATAGATATACCGGATGCTTGGTGTAAGACATGAAAGCGCAAACGCTTTGCTAAATAACTTTTATAGGAGGGATTTCAGCAGACGTTGTAACTCTATAAGGAATTACTATTATGGCTGTATAGCAGTTATTTCGCTGAAAAAAAATATTGGCAGAAATAACCAAGACGAATTATCTCTGATGTGCAGCCTCCAACATTCAGAACTGGTTGGGCTTCTCAGGTTAGAAACACTCATGCACATACCTGGGTATTTATTTTGTATCCTGAGAGCCCATGCCTGGCTGTAATATCTGTTGATTATTTCTTGGTTTAAATGAAATGAAGCCTGTAAATATAAAAAAAATGTGCAAGCGCCTAATGTATTTTACAATATGCTTTGTTGTGTGTGTGTGCGTGTGGCTGGGTGCGTACGTGCACTTATGATGATGTCTTCTGTAATTGCATGCTCCCTGACTGGTAAGTTTTATATTTTAAGGTTTCTTTAGTAATAGGATGTAAGTGGCATTGGTGCCATGCCATGATGACAGTGCTGGCCCGTTGGCAAGACTTCATGGTATGGGTGTTTTGATCCGTGAAAATGCATTTTTGCTGAGGTGTGAAGTTGCTAATCATAGACGCGGCGAAACCACCTGACTTAGTCTCTGGGATGAACGTAAATAGCTTAATTATCCGTTTCGTTTAGACCATAGTATTAACGAATGCAGGTGTGCGAGCCTCGGTATTACACTCTGACAGCTCCGACAGCTGTTTAGCAGAGGTGCTGGTGTTGGCACACGTGACGCTCAGGCAAGAATGCTATCGGCCTAACACTGTCTCGCAGGCTGCCAAATTGATTTTACGGGTGCAGTGTCCACTTGGTTTCGTAATTTGAGCAGCCAGGTGAACTGCGTATTTCTGGAAATTTAACACTATCGATACTGTACTGCCAGCAGCGCAACTAGCATAACAAAGAGGTAGGCGTGTTGTGAGCGTGAGAACAAAAAGCAAATATTCACCCTGGCAGAGCTAAGTCATGGCATTAAAAAAACGAGCCTCAATCTTACTGCTAAGTTGATTATTATAATGTCATGTGCTTATTCATTATCTTTGGCGTTATGGGTTGTTAGTTGTCACTAAAACATTTTGCTTCTAAATTTTTATTCTTCCAATCAAATCCACTATCAATTCCAATTGACTAAATGCCGCGTATCTGTTTTATGCATACGTTTCTAGATTTTCCACATATTTCTTAACAATAAGCAAGAGTAACGACTGGTGTGACGTAATTATTTCTCGTTGTGTCTTTATTCTGAGTCCTTCGCGTGCCTTTCTTGATCAGTTTTATCGTTCAACACTTCTCTGGCATTGTCCTGTTTGCATGACAGTAGCTAAGCGGCATTTAAAAATCTCGAAATCTCTGACCTCAAAATGAGTAGAACGCAGATATGAGGCTACATTGAAGCGAATAGACTTGAGGGTATATACACGCGAACAAGTTACATCTAACCACCTCGTAGGAGCGTGCAGCGCTTTTGGCATCTGACAAATTTATATTTCATTTCAGTGCCATTGGTGAAGCCCTGAAGATTTCTAGTTTAGAAAGAGTGTTTAATGGTGTAGAGCGCTTGGTAATCTACCACGGAAGAGCAGAAAGCCGTCCCAGACAAGCCCAGTGCTTAGGTAAAATTGTGAATGCTTTAGGGCGCTACACGCAATGTACTATGGAAGAGCCAAAGACTATAGCGGCCAAAAAGAATACATTTCGTTAAGAAATGAAAGTTGTGCTGTACACCTAACATAGAGTAACATACCATGTTACTCTATGCACTTAACTTGTCCATTCACAAACCAAACATCGAAAACAAGCAAAAACAGTGCATACATCTACAGCTCTTATGGTGCAAAATTGTTGGTTAGCAAACAGCAACAGCTGGATCTAAATTGTATTAAACCGCTAAAGCCTTGCTAACTTATTCATCATTACGGTATTGCGCACAGCTTAGAACACGAACACTGAAGCACACGAACTAGAGCCCAAACTTTCGACTGAATTTATTGGACTGACATATCATGCTTTTATACAATTGCGCTTCGTGGTGGCAAAGAAACAAAGGTTGTCATAAGTCATTTACAAAATAAATAGGAAGTTCATACCGATAACCGCTCATGCCGGGAAAATGCACCCCGATTGCATCTCCCTGCTTTGTTTCTGCATTCAGTTGAAACTTTGCGTTTGTGTCCTATGATTTAGTGGGTCTCCTAAGAGGTGCGCAGTAATAAATTATTATTTCATTAAAGATTAATATATAATAAATAATAACGAATGAAGGAATCAGTCAATCAAACAATCAACGAAAAATTTTTTGTTTACATCATTTGATCTATAACGTGAAAAGGGATAACTGGAGAAAAAACCTAAAATTTATCGGCTAGACAAACCTCCAGCCCCCCCCCCCCCACCTCAGTAGACATTAGTGAAATTAGTTTCAAAACAATACAACAGGGCATGTTAAACTCATCAAGCGCGTAATTCTTGTCATTATGGCGTAAGAATGAATAGATGACAAACTGGCTTAAGCTGGTATGCCTGAAAGTGTCATTTTTTAACATTCATTCCTATCACTTCATCGCAGCCGGAAGAGCCCAGTCTCTTGGAGGGCGACGTTTCAGGCACGGAGCAACCCTCAAAACCCATCGACGCCTAGAGCAACCTGATGGCTCAGCTCGTGCAGACGGTGTTTTAGGCTGCAGTATCATACAGAATCACATTAGTGGGCGGCGCCATGCAGTGTTTCTTTACTCACGAAAAGTTGCTCCAGCGATCACGCCTACGTACCGCGTGAACAATTGTTTGGTCATTTCTATGACTTATCATATGCATATTTGAAGAACGATGCGTAACATTCAAAATTTCTTTATCATAACTTCGTCATGCACCTCTACCACTCTGCTGACACTAGAGTGTATATAAATATGAATCCCTGCAAAATACCTTCCTAAGACCATAAATACAGTGCGACAATCCACGCAATTGACCATAAATACAATCGAAAGGTACAATAAAAATCAATCATATTTAGTGTTCATTGTAACCGTTATCACGCAGTCATTAGGGCTCCTACAGGACGCAAATCTGACAACTTTGGAATGCGGAGATGCGATGCTCTCGTCTCTCAAAATACTCTACATACATATAATTGCACATTAAACAATGTAGCGAGCTAAACACGTTGATATCCTTCTTTCACATTGATAGAATATTCATACCGAAAACTTATCCAAACAGTCACTTTTTTGTGGTACTACCCAGAAACCGCACGCATCGCCTGAAAACAATGTACTTGAGATCAGCACCATATTATCATTCATGTGGGCTCTCGCTAATCGATGACTTGATGGGCTTCCCACACTACCCATGACTTCCACACATCGTGCAATAATAAAAAAAGGACTAATAAAGACACTCTCCTTTTCATGGCTTGAGCATGCCAGTGTATGAACATCCTAGTCAATATTATTGATTTAAATTGGCGATACTTGTATTTGCGATCTCTGTATTTTCTCGCCGTTATTTTCACCCGTAGTGAGTGTACGTTTTACTGAATATCATTGTCTCCTGTGTTCGCATGCTATAAACATATTTCAGCACGGATTCTGGATTTGTTTCAATTTGTTTTTACGAATTCTTCGACATCTTTATTTTTGTAACCCCCTTTTGACCGTGACTTGTAAAACAAGTTTGCAGTATAAAATAAATAAATAAATAAATAAATAGATTATAAAGAATGCTGTGTTATGTAGGATAGACGACTAAAAAGAAGTATGCATGCCGAAAGGTCATTTTAACAATGCCCTTGTTCGGGCGAGTTGGCCCATACTGCAAGAAAATTTGACGACGCAAATCACCGGTGGTGCCACGCTCTCGTACACTTTCTTAAGAAAGGACCAAAATTGAGTTTTTACCGTAAGCTCA